TCGTAACACACTCATCACGCGCTCCTCGCAACACACTCATCACGCGCTCCTCGTAACACACTCACCACGCTCTCCTCGTAACACACTCATCACGCGCTATTTGTAACACACTCATCACGCGCTACTCGTAACACACTCATCACGCGCTCCTCGTAACACACTCATCACGCGCAACTCGTAACACACTCATCACGCGCTCCTCGTAACACACTCATCACGCGCAACTCGTAACACACTCATCACGCGCTCCTCATAACACACTCATCACGCTCTATTTGTAACACACTCATCACGCGCTACTCGTAACACACTCATCACGCGCTACTCGTAACACACTCACCACGCGCTCCTCGTAACACACTCACCCCGCGCTCCTCGCAACACACTCATCACGCGCTCCTCGTAACACACTCATCACGCGCTCCTCGTAACACACTCACCACGCGCTCCTCGCAACACACTCATCACGCGCTCCTCGTAACACACTCATCACGCGCTCCTCGTAACACACTCACCACGCTCTCCTCGTAACACACTCACCACGCGCTCCTCGTAACACACTCACCACGCTCTCCTCGTAACACACTCATCACGCGCTATTTGTAACACACTCATCACGCGCTCCTCGTAACACACTCACCACGCTCTCCTCGTAACACACTCATCACGCGCTACTCGTAACACACTCACCTCGCGCTCCTCGTAACACACTCACCACGCGCTCCTCGTAACACACTCACCACGCGCTCCTCGTAACACACTCATCACGCGCTACTCGTAACACACTCATCACGCGCTACTCGTAACACACTCACCCCGCGCTCCTCGTAACACACTCACCACGCGCTCCTCGTAACACTCACCACGCGCTCCTCGTAACACACTAACCACGCGCTCCTCGTAACACACTCATCACGCGCTACTCGTAACACACTCACCCTGCGCTCCTCGTAACACACTCACCCCGCGCTCCTCGTAACACACTCATCACGGGCTACTCGTAACACAATCACCCCGCGCTCCTCGTAACACACTCACCACGCGCTCCTCGTAACACACCACGCGCTCCTCGTAACACACTCACCCCGCGCTCCTCGTAACACACTCACCCCGCGCTCCTCGTAACACACTCACCACGCGCTCCTCGTAACACACCACGCGCTACTCGTAACACAATCACCCCGCGCTCCTCGTAACACACTCACCACGCGCTCCTCGTAACACACCACGCGCTACTCGTAACACACTCATCACGCGCTACTCGTAACACACTCACCTCGCGCTCCTCGTAACACACTCACCACGCGCTCCTCGTAACACACTCACCACGCGCTCCTTGTAACACACTCATCATGCGCTACTCGTAACACACTCATCACGCGCTACTCGTAACACACTCACCCCGCGCTCCTCGTAACACACTCACCACGCGCTCCTCGTAACACTCACCACGCGCTCCTCGTAACACACTCACCACGCGCTCCTCGTAACACACTCACCCCGCGCTCCTCGCAACACACTCATCACGCGCTACTCGTAACACACTCACCCCGCGCTCCTCGTAACACACTCACCCCGCGCTCCTCGTAACACACTCTCCCCGCGCTCCTCGTAACACACTCATCACGCGCTCCTCGTAACACACTCATCACGCGCTACTCGTAACACACTCACCCCGCGCTCCTCGTAACACACTCACCCCGCGCTCCTCGTAACACACTCACCACGCGCTCCTCGTAACACACTCATCACGCGCTACTCGTAACACACTCACCCCGCGCTCCTCGTAACACACTCACCCCGCGCTCCTCGTAACACACATCACGGGCTACTCGTAACACAATCACCCCGCGCTCCTCGTAACACACTCACCACGCGCTCCTCGTAACACACCACGCGCTACTCGTAACACACTCACCCCGCGCTCCTCGTAACACACTCACCACACGCTCCTCGTAACACACCACGCGCTACTCGTAACACAATCACCCCGCGCTCCTCGTAACACACTCACCACGCGCTCCTCGTAACACACCACGCTCTCCTCGTAACACACTCACCCCGCGCTCCTCGCAACACACTCATCACGCGCTACTCGTAACACACTCACCCCGCGCTCCTCGTAACACACTCACCACGCGCTCCTCGTAACACACTCACCACGCGCTCCTTCGTAACACTCACCACGCGCTCCTCGTAACACACTCACCACGCGCTCCTCGTAACACACTCACCACGCGCTCCTCGTAACACACTCACCACGCGCTCCTCGTAACACACTCACCACGCGCTCCTCGTAACACACTCACCACGCTCTCCTCGTAACACACTCACCACGCGCTCCTCGTAACACACTCACCACGCTCTCCTCGTAACACACTCACCACGCGCTCCTCGTAACACACTCACCACGCGCTCCTCGTAACACACTCACCACGCTCTCCTCGTAACACACTCACCACCCGCTCCTCGTAACACACTCACCACCCGCTCCTCGTAACACACTCACCCCGCGCTCCTCGTAACACACTCACCCCGCGCTCCTCGTAACACACTCACCCCGCGCTCCTCGTAACACACTCACCCCGCGCTTCTCGTAACGCACTCACCACGCTCTCCTCGTAACAAACTCACCACGCGCTCCTCGTAACACACTCCTCGTAACACACTCACCCCGCGCTCCTCGTAACACACTCACCACGCGCTCCTCGTAACACACTCACCACCCGCTCCTCGTAACACACTCACCCCGCGCTCCTCGTAACACACTCACCACGCGCTCCTCGTAACACACTCACCACGCGCTCCTCGTAACACACTCACCACGCGCTCCTCGTAACACACTCACCACGCGCTCCTCGTAACACACTCACCACCCGCTCCTCGTAACACACTCATCACGCGCTCCTCGTAACACACTCACCACGTGCTCCTCGTAACACACTCACCCTGCGCTCCTCGTAACACACTCATCACGCGCTCCTCGTAACACACTCACCACGTGCTCCTCGTAACACACTCACCACGCGCTCCTCGTAACACACTCACCACGCGCTCCTTAACACACTCACCACGCGCTCCTCGTAACACACTCATCCCGCGCTCCTCGTAACACACTCACCACGCGCTCCTCGTAACACACTCACCACGCGCTCCTCGTAACACACTCACCACGCGCTCCTTAACACACTCACCACGCGCTCCTCGTAACACACTCATCACGCGCTCCTCGTAACACACTCACCACGCGCTCCTCGTAACACACTCACCACGCGCTCCTCGTAACACACTCACCACGCTCTCCTCGTAACACACTCACCACCCGCTCCTCGTAACACACTCACCATGCGCTCCTCGTAACACACTCACCCCGCGCTCCTCGTAACACACTCACCCCGCGCTCCTCGTAACACACTCACCACCCGCTCCTCGTAACACACTCACCCCGCGCTCCTCGTAACACACTCACCCCGCGCTCCTCGTAACACACTCACCACGCGCTCCTCGTAACACACTCACCACGCGCTCCTCGTAACACACTCACCACGCGCTCCTCGTAACACACTCACCACGCGCTCCTCGTAACACACTCACCACCCGCTCCTCGTAACACACTCATCACGCGCTACTCGTAACACACTCACCCCGCGCTCCTCGTAACACACTCACCCCGCGCTCCTCGTAACACACTCACCACGCGCTCCTCGTAACACACTCACCACGTGCTCCTCGTAACACACTCACCACGCGCTCCTCGTAACACACTCACCCCGCGCTCCTCGTAACACACTCACCACGCGCTCCTCGTAACACACTCACCACGCGCTCCTCGTAACACACTCACCACGTGCTCCTCGTAACACACTCACCACGCGCTCCTTAACACACTCACCACGCGCTCCTCGTAACACACTCACCACGCGCTCCTCGTAACACACTCATCCCGCGCTCCTCGTAACACACTCACCACGCGCTCCTTAACACACTCACCACGCGCTCCTCGTAACACACTCATCCCGCGCTCCTCGTAACACACTCACCACGCGCTCCTCGTAACACACTCACCACGCGCTCCTTAACACACTCACCACGCGCTCCTCGTAACACACTCATCACGCGCTCCTCGTAACACACTCACCACGCGCTCCTCGTAACACACTCACCACGCGCTCCTCGTAACACACTCACCACGCTCTCCTCGTAACACACTCACCACCCGCTCCTCGTAACACACTCACCACGCGCTCCTTAACACACTCACCACCCGCTCCTCGTAACACACTCATCACGCGCTCCTCGTAACACACTCACCACGCGCTCCTCGTAACACACTCACCACGCTCTCCTCGTAACACACTCACCACCCGCTCCTCGTAACACACTCACCACGCGCTCCTCGTTACACACTCACCAAGTGCTCCTCGTAACACACTCACCACCCGCTCCTCGTAACACACTCATCACGCGCTACTCGTAACACACTCACCCCGCGCTCCTCGTAACACACTCATCACGCGCTCCTCGTAACACACTCACCACGCGCTCCTCGTAACACACTCACCACGCGCTCCTCGTAACACTCACCACGCGCTCCTCGTAACACACTCACCACCCGCTCCTCGTAACACACTCATCACGCGCTCCTCGTAACACACTCACCCCGCGCTCCTCGTAACACACTCACCACGCGCTCCTCGTAACACACTCACCACCCGCTCCTCGTAACACACTCATCACGCGCTACTCGTAACACACTCACCCCGCGCTCCTTGTAACACACTCACCCCGCGCTCCTTGTAACACACTCCTCGTAACACACTCACCACGCTCTCCTCGTAACACACACTCACCACGCTCTCCTCGTAACACACTCACCACGCGCTCCTCGTAACACACTCACCACGCGCTCCTCGTAACACACTCACCACGCTCTCCTCGTAACACACTCACCCCGCGCTCCTCGTAACACACTCACCCCGCGCTCCTCGTAACACACTCACCATGCGCCCCATGACGCCTGTGCCGACGGTCTCGGCCTCCATCTCGGAGATGTGCGCCGCATGCTCCGCCTTCACGTAGAACAACAGCATGATTCCCACCAAACGCACCAGCTTCACCTAAACAACACACACCAATACTCTTACAAGGACAATAAAGGGGTGAAACATTAAACCCTCTGGTGCTCTTCGTCATTTTTATTTTTTTTAGTATTGTTTACTTCATCGGAATGGTACGAAACTTAGTAAAGGGTTGGGCACTTGCTATGCGAAGACAAAAACAAAAATCATGGACTTGATTCGAAAAGGTTAAACTGTCCTGAAAAAAATAGTCATACTTGTTCTAATCGTGGTCGAAAATGGAAATGAATGGGAGACGAATTTAATCAAGTGGAAGCGTTTGGTACTGCAGCCAATCACAATTTTACTGAAATCTAATTTTTTTAGATATCAAGCTCAAATTCGGAACACAATTAGTTTAGATTCATGGCTTTGATTTTCTTGCAGTTTTAGAGTAAAAGGTGTTTTTGAAGATATATATTCCATATAAAAATTGAAAATAGTATTTTTGTGCATTTTTCATAACAACAAACGTAAAATTCTGCAACTTCGACTTGGCAAGAGTCGACACTTAAGTTTGAAAAGAGATCAAACTTCAGTCTGTGCTTTAAAAGCATTCAAGATTTACCAGTTTAAGTTGGAAATTTAATTTTCAGGTCTATGGTCAAAAAGTGAATAAATGGATTATAAATGCAGCATCAATATAATTTAGTACCATAAAATCCCCTAAAAATACAAAATAATAAATAAAAAAACATTATTTAACTAAAACATAGTACATTCATTTAATTGAAAGTCATTTTTGACCAACATGCAAAGAGCACCCAGCGGGTTAAACAAAATGACTATAGGCACTAGAGCTGCAACAACTAATCAATAAAATCGCTAATAACCGATAATGAAAATCATCGACATCAAATGTCATTATCGATTAGTCACATTTCTATGGACAAAATGCATCTAAAAATAATGGAGGAAACCGAGTGATATGCTTCTGGAAAGGAACGTGATCCAAGCTGCTCAAAACATGATAGTTCCTTATTTAAAGCCTCAAGCTAATGCATTAGTGTAATGTTTAACATGGCTTGCCCTGACAGATGTGTGTGCAGTTTAATGCGTGATATGTTTCCTCAGCGCAAAACTTTTCATTTTGCAGTTATATCCTTATTTGTAAGTGTTACAAATTCACGCAAGAATTTCCATTTCGAAAGGAAGGCTTGTCCTGACCTTTATTATTATCTTGATTTTTAATGTAGGGATTTAGACTGTCCCTTTGCTTTATAGCTCTTTTGCATATAGCATAGATATAGATATGTACTTGCGTTTACAAGACTTTATTAAATGTAGTGACGTCATTCGGCTGCATATACTAGGGACAAGTGTCGTGAATTAGCTTTAGCTAAAAACACTATGATACATACATCAGATGACTCTTAAAGCTTATCTATGTTACTTGTATCTGTCCCCATCTAAATAAACTTAATAATAATAATAATAATAACATGCATTTTCGGCTTATTAATCATAATCAGGATAAGATTAAAGCCATTTCCCAAAAAAAATCTTGACTTCATACTCTGAGATGAAATCAGATATTATATATATATAATATCCCCATATTTATCCAGGTCAACATTAAGACTGAGAGGCCATGTTTTTCTCCGTGACTCTAACCGACTAATTATAGTTTGGTCGACTAAGCCTCTTCTCGTTTAGTTGACTATGAGGGTGTTGTTATCCTAATAACCCAGTGTTTTTGTGTTGGATCTGAACATTAGCTCATGGGTGCGAGAGCAGAGGAGGTCCTTACTAAAGCATACTTGGCATCTGGATGGAGGCTCTTGTAGACGGCTAGCATCCACTCGGGCTCTTTAGGAGTATCATTGAAGAGAAACGCCTCCTTACTGAGATCCAGCTCCTGGAAACTACAGCAGGGAATCACACACACGTCTTCATCACTGTGTATGTGATATATATGTGACCCTGGACCACAAAACCAGTCACATGGGTGCAATATTTTGAAATTGAGATCTGAAAGCTGAATGAATAAGCTTCCCATTGATGTATTGTTTGTTAGGATTGGACAATATTTGGCTTGAAAATCTGGAATCTGGGGGTGCAAAAAATTTTAAATACTGAGAACATCGCCTTTAAAATCGTCCATTTATGTTCCCGATTGTGCTGCACTCACTCACAAAAATAAATGTTTTATATATTTTTGGTAGGAAATTTAGAAAGTATCTTCATGGAACATGATCTTTACTTAATATCCTAATGATTTTTGGCATAAAAGAAACATCAATAATTTGTATCGATGTGTGTGTGTGTGTGTGTGTGCGTGAGTGAGTGTGTGTGTGTGTGTGTGTGTGTGTGTGTGTGTGTGTGTGTGTGTGTGTGTGTGTGTGTGACTGTGTGTGTGTGTGTGTGTGTGTGTGTGTGTGTGTGTGTGTGTGTGTGTGTGAGTGTGTGACTGTGTGTGTGTGTGTGTGTGTGAGACTGTGTGTGTGTGACAGTGTGTGTGAGACAGTGTGTGTGTGTGTGTGTGTGTGTGTGAGACAGTGTGTGTGTGAGACAGTGTGTGTGTGAGACAGTGTGTGTGTGTGTGTGTGTGTTTGAGACAGTGTGTGTGTGTGTGTGTGTGTGTGTGACAGTGTGTGTGTGACAGTGTGTGTGAGACAGTGTGTGTGTGTGTGTGTGTGTGTGAGAGTGTGTGACAGTGTGTGAGACAGTGTGTGTGTGTGTGTTTGAGACAGTTTGTGTGTGTGTTTGAGACAGTGTGTGTGTGTGTGTGTGTGTGTGTGTGTGTGAGTGTGTGACTGTGTGTGTGAGACTGTGTGTGTGTGTGACAGTGTGTGTGTGTGTGTGAGACAGTGTGTTTGTGAGACAGTGTGTGTGTGTGTGTTTGAGACAGTGTGTGTGTGTGTGTGTGTGTGTGACAGTGTGTGTGTGACAGTGTGTGTGAGACAGTGTGTGTGAGACAGTGTGTGTGTGTGTGTGTGTGTGTGAGAGAGTGTGTGACAGTGTGTGAGACAGTGTGTGTGTGTGTGTGTGTTTGAGACAGTTTGTGTGTGTGTTTGAGACAGTGTGTGTGTGTGTGTGTGTGTGTGTGTGTGTGTGTGTGTGTGTGTGTGTGTGTGTGTGTGTGTGTGTGTGTGTGTGTGTGTGAGACAGTGTGTGTTTGTGTGTGTGTGTGAGACAGTATCAGGATGAAGGAAGGTCATACCCATAGAGTCCAAAATATCTTCATGGAACATGATCTTTACTTAATATCCTAATGATTTTTGGCATAAAAGAGAAAACGATAATTCTGACCTATACAGTGTGTTGTTGGCTATTGCCACAGATATACCCGTGCGACTCGAGACTGGTTTTGTGGTCCAGGGTCATAAATATACTAATGCGGATTCTCACCCCAAGAGGTAGAAGTCAGGAGCGGTGGCGGAGGACGCCAGCCATGGACTGAGACTTTCCTTCGGATTCTGGCCGTTCACGTTGTACGTTCCCACGAAGAAGCTGTCGGCACACAATGAGAACAGAGCCGGGGATTCAAAAGATCCCACAACACGAGCCAAAGAGAGAAGCTGCCGGCGTAAATTAAGAAACATCTCACGCATACTGAAACCTCACGATCAGCCTGAGAACGACTGAAGGGTCAGAATAAAACAGGCCATTCTGACTCTGGGCTAAATGCCTTTTGTCCTAAACAAGAGCTTTGCGAGCCTATACTTATGATTTATGAATACTCTTCGTGTATTTGCAGCTGTAGGACAGGGTTTCGCTCAACAGGGGGCGGCGTCGAGTCACGGCTGCATTTCTAAGATGAAAACAAGTACACTAAATAGAAAAAGGTACGAGTAACAAACAAAACTGCTTCATTGAAAATCCTGGTTATAGTTATTGTTTCAAAGCGTTATTTATAATTAATAGGTTTCAGGGATGATCTTTGAGTTTGTTTTCTAAATAAAGGCGGCCAAAGGTACAGTGAAAATACTTAGATCGGTCTTAAATAGTGTATATTCATAAATATTCATTCAGTCTTTTCTGATTACTGTTTACATAATAATTTGCGATTTTATAAGTGTTATTATTATTACTGTACATAATAATAAATGACTTTCCTCACAAAAAGGTATTAAAATATTTAGAGCATATTAATTTTCATGATTTTTTTTATTTAATTGTTTTGTGGGAGGGAAACGAAAAACTAAAATACACTTTTTTAACAGGGAATAACTGTTATAGCTAATGTTAATAATATTTCACAACTCCCTGAAACGCCTCCATTGTAGTCTCGAGTTTCTTCCGGGAACACGTCACAATATTCCTCATTATAATAATTAATATGCAGAATAAAGGGGCGGGGCCTGGTTGAGTTAGTTAGTAGTGTGTTAAACTGGTGGTTATGGAAAGGGGCGGGACATTTCCCAAACACACTCGAAGCGCTCGACCAATCACAACACACTGCTCCAGCCGACCAATCAGAGCACAGTGTGCTTTTCAGAAGGAGGGGCTTCATAGAGACAGGAAGTGAACAGAGCGTTACTGACAGACTGGGAAGAGAGGAGCCGCAACAATGGAGAATATGAGGAGAATAATCAACATTCAAGCAGGAAAACCTGTTCTAGTAGAGCCTGAAACTACATCAAGGCTCTAATCGGTCCTCTTTCCGCTCAGGCATGAGAACTGGCACTGACACACACCTGTAGTTCTGGATGTATGTGTAGGCGTCCTCGTTCTTCAGGAGCTCACATTTGATGAGGTTATCCCGCAGGCCGAACTGGGGCATCCCGAGCATCTGGTCTTTATTGGACAAGATGTGCTGGGAGTTTCGGATCAGGTCATCTCTCAGCTCGCCCTTCCCTCTCTCCTGGCTGAAACTAAACCAGAGTAACTGATTTATGACAGAAATATTTGACTTTTATTCAATAAGGATGATGAGTAAAGACATTTATAATGCTACACAAGTTTCTATTTCACATAAACGCTGTTCTTTTGACCTTTCGGTTCATCAAATAATCCTGAAAAATTCAAATCTGAAGCAGCACGCCTGTTTTCAACGCTGATAATAATCATAAATGTTTCTTGAGCATCAGATCATCATATTAGAGTGATTTCTGAAAGATCATGTGACACTGAAGACTGGAGTAATGATGCTGAAAATTCAGCTTTGATCACAGGAATAAATTACACTTTACTATATATTCACATAGAAAACAGCTGATTTATATTGGAATCATATTTCGACTGTTTTTACTGTATTTTTGCTCACGTAAATGTAGCCATGGTCAAAAACATCTGAGTAAGGTAGTGTAAATATGATGAAACAACAAATTACATCTTACATCAGGACTCTAACAGTAAATAAACAGTATTAAAGTATTGTTTTAAGGTTAAAACATGACTTCACACTCCCAACTAACACACAGATTATTAACCTCACCTTGAAAATCAAAACATAACGGTTTTGTAGAGCTATTAGAAATTAGGAAAACTGGGGATTGGACATTTAAAATACATTTAAAACTTTTATTTTTCTTCCTTTCTGAAAATTAGTCTGCAAATTACTGTAATAAACACACTGCATTAAATAAAAGACATGTTTTAGAAACATGAAGATATGCCTAGCAGAGATGATGTTGAATAAACCCGGCTTTAAATCAAGAACAGCCAGGAAAGGTTATGTTATAACTATATATATATATTATGTTTAAGCTGTTATAACTGCAGATTTATGAAATAATGTAAACGCTAACCGTGTGAAACGTACCTCTCACACACACTGCGCTCGTCCTCTTTCCTCTGTCCGACGCCGTCGGCTTTTCCTGCAAACGTGAAGATTATCTCAGATTAGTCCACAGCATTACACAAACACAAGTCCTTCGTTAATGCAGACTTGAGTTTCTCCGAGACCGTGAGCCACAGTAAACGAGTCTTCAGCTCCAGGGTTCGTAAAGCGAAATTCCAGGACTTTCAAGCACTACTTTTTTGGTTTTCAAGGACTACAATCAGAGATCTCACTTATTAGACAATATCTTTATTATCTTTCATATTCGAAACAATTCAAAGCTGTATCATATACTTGTATTACGTGAGCAATATCAAATATCACGCTCATATCCATTTGAAATGGCTCTATATCAGTCTCAGACGGGTGAGAAAAGATCGTTTTATCAATACAATTAAACACTACTTTCTTGAACAATAATTCAAGTACCTTTTCAAGGGGTTTCCAAGACTTAAATTTCAAAAAGTCAAATTCAAGCACTTCAATCACCTTGTCATAACTATAAATTATGCATAATTAACCGAACACCCATCCTAACCTTAACCCTATAGTAAGTACATGTAGTTAATTATTATTACTCAGTACTTAACTACACTGTAACACTGACACCTTAGAATAAAGTGTAACCAAAGTTTCTTACAGCAATCTGTGGGAAATGTCTTGCTCTGATAACGAGCGCAGAGATCAGGTGAGAGTTCGACTGCGATGACATCATGAACCCTGCGATGATGTCATCCGAGAGGAATGTGGGCGGGGCCAAAACGAACGCCCGTTTCCTCACGCTTTCACACACACTCAGTCAGGAAATGTCACAGCAATGGTTTGGCAACGATGGCTTGAGCTAAAACTGCATTAACACAGTGAGGTTCGGTCGGCTCATTTAGACTTAGCAGAGGGTTTTAGTTTAGTCAAACCCTAAAGGCTCACCTGCTCATGTTGTGTTTGATTACACGGATTCAGATTAGTTCATTCGCTCATCATTTCTGAACGAAAAGTCCTTGGAATGGACTAGAGATACTTATTATTTCTAAAATCATCCGTTCACATGAGAAAAAAAAAATCATTTTTGTGACAAAAATCATTACAATTTGGTTAAAGTTATTATATCAGTAGTGTCTGAGACCGACTATTTATTTAATCTTTAGGTTATATATGTATCATGATAATGATTAAACAGCATGATAAGTATATGTACAGTATATATGAAAAATGTATGTATAGTTAGATTATTCTTTCAGTAGGTGTTGCTTTATCTTGAATTATCAGAACAATTTAAAATAACAATTTACAAAGAGCATCTTAAACTTCAAATGGAAACACGAAAGTTTAAAAAGAGGGTTTAAATGTTTCAAATTCACAAATTTGCTTTATGGCCTATAGAAACGGAATCTGAATCAAAATCTGATTTTTATTTCCCAGACTTTAAATATTTATTTTAGATTATGTAATTGGCTTTTCATACATGTTCATTTCTTCTGATGTAATATAAATAGTCCTGTGGTTTGACAAATGAATATTAAAAGAGCAAATATTCCATATAGTCTCCATATAAGGTCATCTATACAGGTGAAACTCGAACAATTAGGATATCGTGCAAAAGTTCATTTATTTCAGTAATTCAACTTAAAAGGTGAAACTAATATATTATATAGACTCATTACATGCAAAGTGAGATATTTCAAGCCGTTATTTGTTATAATTTTGATTATGGCTTACAGCTTATGAAAACCTTTTCACAATATTCTAATTTTGAATTTGGGGTTTTCATAAGCTGTAAGCCATAATCATCACAATTATAACAAATAAAGGCTTGAAATATCTCACTTTGCATGTAATGAGTCTATATAATATATTAGTTTCACCTTTTAAGTTGAATTACTGAAATAAATGAACTTTTGCACGATATCCTAATTATTCGAGTTTCACCTGTAAATGATATTAAACAGATTTATAGAGAAAATATCACACAGCAGGTCACTAAGGTCAAATACACCATAATAACACTAAATAAAGTGATAAACAAACAATGTGTATGGAGAAAAGAAAAATAAAGATACAAGCAAACACACATAAACGGTTAATAAAGCTGACTGTGAGATTATCAGGTGTATTCATACAGTACACAAGCTCACATCAAAGGATTACTCATTTATTCTTTATAGTTCTACATCAAAGCCAGAGAGCGAGCACACACACACACACACACACACACACACACACTTCACTGTGAAAACCAGAAGAACCGAGTTATTTAAATGTACACGTCAAAACGAGTGACCAGAAGAGACGCACGCTCGTTGTTTCCTACACATGAAGCTGTATATGTTTAATTTGTTTAAACTGATATCTCACCGAATGCACTTTTCTTACCATTTAGTGGAGTCGCATTAGACATCTCCCTGTTCTCGCATTCTGACTGTACTTACACATACACGGAGATTTTGGCAGGGAGTCCTGCTACGCCGAAGGATTGGCTCATGAATATTAATTACGCCATGGTGATGTCGCCTCCTAACCTTTCTGTAGCGTCCAATCACGAGGCTTCGCAAGCGCACTTTTACCAACGTCAGCTTTGCAGCCAATCAAATTGAGCCATTGGTTTCAACGTCACATTTCCCACTTATTATCCATGAGCAGAGGCTTCCCTGGTTTGCAGACTCGCGCGGTCGAACAAGAATCAATCGATTGAGAATCAGACTCAACGAGCTGATCGTGTATCAGTTTTGCACATAGGTTTTGCACTTTAGCAGCGATCTTGCGTGTCTTTTGGACAACAAAAATATAGAATGTTTGTTTAATAATATGTTGATTGAAGTTTTAACTACAAAAATGTAGATTTGTTAAAGTTTCATGTGTAGCGACATATAAAAATTAATTAAAAAAAAATATTTCAATCCTTAAAACAATTAAAAACGAGGAGTGCCTTAAAACTCTCTAAATTATTGGCAATATATGGATTAAATGGAGTGTAATTTATTTTGTTATAATTAGCTTTTTTTTAAATATACATTATTTATGTTATTATTACGTTGTTTACAATATGCTGCTTGGTTTACAATATGCTGTTTACAATATGCTGCTTATTGTTAATGTGTTTAACAATGATGATATGTTAATGCCTGTTTGTTATATGAAATGATTTAATAATAAAGAAACCTTCAGCAGTGATCGCATCTGCTTTACTAGGCCAAAAGAAGAAAAAAGTTACACGTTGTCCTTGTTACAGTGTAATTGTACATTGAAGTACTGAGTAATGTTAATTAACTAATGTAGGCCTACTTACTGTAAGGATAGGATTAAGATTAAGTTTGGTTTAGGCCAGGGTTATGTAAATTATGCATAATTTATAGTAATTAACAAGGACACTGCAAAATAAAGTTAAAATACCACACAAAAATAAAATGATACATTAGTCTGTCAAGCTTAAACAAACAAAAATCAATATAAAGAGTCTGTTTTTCATGAACAACAACAGCGCTGATATTCCTGCCCACAAGATCATAATGCAAATACACTCTGAAACACTTTACATTGTGGAGAGTGTGGTTGAGGTCAGTGTTAACAACATAACTAAACCAATTAAAGAATTAAATAAAGCTGAAATAAAATACTAGATGTTAGTATAGTGTATATATAAGTATATTAAGTATAATATAATATATATCACAAAAGGTACATACAAAACTTTAGCTAAAATTTAAATGAGCTTAACCAAAAAATGTATTCTACACTATAATAGTTAGAATAAGGCGTCTGAGGGTTCATAAGCTGACTGTGCTGTTGCAGCTCCTGGTTTCACTGAGCCGGTGACGCAGACACGCATGTGGACCAACTGGTTTGTTTACTAAAAGAAATCATGCAAATTGAAAAAGGCAATGATCACGTTTCTCTCGCAAGCGCCTCAGTGTTTGGATAATGTACAGTGAACATTAACAGCGAATATACCGTTTCATATCAGCAATCAGCACACACACACACACACACACACATCTGTCAGATCCGTGATGAACACTGCGGCCACGTCTCTCTCACACACCACACACACATCTGTCAGATCTGTGATGATGAACACTGCGGCCACGTCTCTCTCACACACACCACACACACAGGCTCACACACACTCACTGACGCGCACACACACAGGCTAACACACACACACAGGCTCACACACACTCACTGACGCGCACACACACAGGCTAATACACACACACACACACACACTAACCCAACCCCTAAACCTACCCATCACACAAAACTTTCAAAAACTTTGCATTTTTACATTTAAAAAAAAAACACTTTTTAATATGTTTATTAATCAATTTTCCTCTTGAGAACCAGCAAACAGTCCTCAAAGTAGGGAATCTCAAGGTTTACTCTCCTTGTGGGGACATATGGTCCTCTCACACACACACACACACACACACACACACACATGTGCGCACATGAACCCCCTGATGTGTTATGAAACACAAATGCATGTAAGATTTCTCAGGTCTTTGAACACCTCTGAACACTGAGAGTCTGAGTGATGTAACGAACACACACACACGAGATCACGCAGAACTGAGTGAACACACACACGAGATCATGCAGCGCTGGACGAACACACACACGAGATCATGCAGAGCTGGACGAACACACACACGAGATCATGCAGAGCTGGACGAACACACACACACACACACACACACTCACCAGATCTCTGCCTCTGACTCATCCTGCTGTCCGCGGCTCCGGCTGGCTTTCTCAGAGGCCGCGCTGCTCTCGACACCTTACGGTACTTGCTAAGCCAGCCAAACTTCGGCTCTTGCCTCGGATGTTGCTCACACACATCTAGAAAGAGCAGAAAGTGTGTGTTTTTAACCCAGATGAATTAAAGCTCCACCAGTTTCAGAATGAAACCCATAGAGATGCTTGTCTGACGCATTAGCTGACTCTTATCTGTGTGTTCTGAGCAAGATAAAGAGGAACTCCGCTCTTCCCTTCGCCACTGATCTCTCTCTCTCTCTCTCTCTCTCTCTCTCTCTCTCTCTCTCTCTCTCTCTCTCAGAACTAGTTCACACTATCTTCAACATCTACACACACAAGTTTAACTTCCTTGCGCACGCCAGCGTCAGAGTTTCTATATGACCACAGGTTTTCTACTATCTTACCTTGCACATTTCTCATTTTCTTCCTGCTTGCTTTTCCCCTGAAACTCGCCATCGTGAAGGCCACACATCACTTATTCCTGGATTTAAGGTTTATGACTTTGTTGAACTCGGGAAAACACGGATCCACGATCACATCCTCCTCTTACACCGCTCTGTCGGGTCTCTCTCAGCGAGTGTGTGTGTGTTGAATCTAACAGTTGTCTGAGAGTCGAGAGCGCTGGATATCTGAGTAACTTGAGCACTGTTTCATAAGGTAATGTCCAGCGTCTGGAGGCGGGATAGCTAGACGTTTATTACGCAATGACTCCAAAAGTTCACCCGGTGAATGAGTGACAGAGCAGGTCAGCTGACCTCTGCAACAGGTCTCAGATCAGCACGAAGGGGAGACGTGAGAACACACACACAACTCGCTCGAAAACTTCAACTAGACTTGAATATATTCCAACATTACCCACCTTCAAACAAATACCAAATTGTGGCTAATTCACGAACAATATTGCTCACATATTTAATTTTTATATTTCATTTAATTTGATCTGCATCTCATTTTGAATAATGTTAGTCTGTATTTTTATTTCTAACTAAAAGCCCTAGGGACAAGTATTGTGAATTAGCTTTAGCTAATACATGACTGTTTAAGTTTATCTACGTTTCTTGTTTATCTAAATAAACTTAAATAAATAAATAAAGTGTCTTCTGCTCACCAAAGCTGCATTTATGTGTCCATTTGGGTCCTTTATCTGTGAATTCACTGTAAACCCTAATGCTCAAAATACTTAATTGGTTTGAGTAGGGAAAACTTAAATTAAACTAATTAGTTCAGTCAAATTAACTTTTATGAGTATTTAGCACTTTCTTTTTCTTTCAAGTTCACAGAATGGATATATTTTAAGTAAACTGAACTGTTTCATTGTTTTGAGTTTTATGAAATTATTTCTTTTAATTTAGACGAACTTAAGTTTAACTGAAACGGCTGGGATGTATATTTCCCAGCATGCTTTGCCGATGGCACTCGAAAGGCAGAGTAAATGCTAAAATTAAGTGTAATACAATGTTTTTTTGTGCAAGATTAATGTTAAGCGGGTGATTTAGTAATGATTAATGTTTCGTTATGCTAATTTAGAAGAATTACTGTTAATGTTGGTTTTAGGATAGTTACCATCATGGTGACAAGTGGTGCATGAGCTTGATTTGAGAGCAAATAAAACCTATATATTGCTGCAATTGTTACTGTATAGCATACTATTGTTAAGATGTTAACAAAATAGTATGTTAGCAAACTAGCTTGTTAAAGCTAGCTAAATTTATACTAATAAAAGTGTTCACATTGAGATTACATGAAATTTTAAGTTAAATGTATGAATTAGTGTACTCAAACATTTCAAGTTAAGAACAATTCAAATGTACAAATACAAAATAAAAATATGTCAGTTCTGCTTGCTTAAACTTTGAATTTCTTTTTTGAGTTGTGCCAACTTATTCGGGTTTACAGTGCATGCAAACAAATCTGCGAGTGATTTTTGTTAAAGGCCTTACATTTGATAAAGGCTTTGATCATCTCAGCGAAATTGAAAGTGTTTTTATCAGTAAAGGATTTGTTTTTAAAGGACATGTTTTATTCGCTCTAGGCGGGACCCCTGAAGCCGGGATCGTTCGCCTGCTATCCAATCAAAGCGTTCAATAGAGATAAAACACTGTGAACTGCCATTGTGTCTCACATGTATTTACCTTCACTTATTCTCTATTTTGTATTGTATGTATCGACTGCCATTGTGTTTTTCATCATTTCACTTATTTCTTTTCGCTAATGTATGTTGTTTTGTATGTTACGGCTTGCACGTTGTCCAAGACAAATTTCCCAGCGATGGGACTAATAAAGTATAAACAGTCAATGGTCACTTGCCAAATAACACATTTTTAAAACATCAGTTTATATTAATTAGTTTTACAATCGAAATCTAAAGTTTTTACAAACAATAACTTGGTTTCCCTGGTTACGCCTGACGCTTTATCCACCTTATTCCGACGCCCCATGACGCTTTGCGTGAATTATGGGTGTAACTTCCGTTAAGCTGTAAAAAATCAGTGAAAGGCTCACTCTATGAACGCAATACGTTAAAAAAGTGTCACTATAGACCAATTTCCAGCCGACGTCACAGTTGCGTCACGGCGCTAGCTGGTGGCAGAACAAAGGGAAAACTGGAGGCGGAAAATACAAACCAGCACAGATTCGGCTACAAAATAAGGATCTTAAATTATTTTCTTATTATTAAATGTCATCTTGTTGTGTTGTTGGGTGCAAGAATCAATGAAAAATTCATATGCTTTATCTGCAACTTTTTATTTCTAGAAAATATTCACCTCATTAAAATTGCACCGTAATGTCACTCTTTACATTGTCGTCTTCATGGTGCTGGCTAGGCAGAACTGCGGATCGTACCACACAACTTGTACATGACCATTCAGCACATAGTTATAGGCATCTAAAGATTTATATGCCCTCCGTTTCTCTATCAGGTAGGTGTAGAAGTCAGGACACTCAACCGGAGGTAGCGTTAACGTTAATCCTGTCAGATCGTCCAGCGTGTAGGCTACAGTACGGCCAATCTGGTTCTGTCCGTTAAAATTAACTTTTGCAAATAACAATCGCGGTCCTGGACAGTGAGTGGCCTTGCACATTAAGATAAAATCGGATTTTCTCCAGTCATTGTTAAAAACAAGCTAACAAAACTTGCAGACTTTACGTTAGTGAAGAGGCCAGAGGGATCGTTCTGCCACCACCTAAGCTCCGCCCACATAAAAACGTCACCATGTTTACCAACTGAAAATTGGTCTATAGCCGCTTTCCGACCGGAGGGACTTTTGCAGTTCCTAGAACCTAACGTTACTATAACCTTTTTTTCCGCGTGTTCCGACCGGACTAAGTTGGGGATTTTTTAGTTCCTCAGACCGTAGTTCCTATAACTCTTTCAGTATCTAGTCTAGAGCGAGGACTTTTTTAGTTCCCTTTCCCTAGGTCTACGTTGATTGGTTCAACTTATAAGTCACGCCCAGTGTCAACACATTTTCTTCACTGTCTGTTGCAATTCGCCTATGTATGCTATGCTAACTCATAACTTAAGACAAACATAACGCATTCAACCAGCTAATTGCTATGCTTGCTAAACTTACCCGTCGTTTTGTTTACCTCCTGCGCTCTGCTCTTCTATCTTCTTCCATTATATTACTTAAGATCATATTACGCTGGAGCCTTCGTCTTCTGTGTTTCTCTGTACAGAACTCAAGCATAGTCTTTAAACGCCGCCGTTCGTACTCCGTTATTAAGGTCCCGGCCAGGCAGAACAGGAACATTCGGATAGCCTCCTCCACGCTGGTTTGTTGTTGTTGTATGTGGCGCCGCCGCCGCCGTGCTTGCGTCACTCCCTTACACCTCCTAACAGTTCCTATGGCCACTTGGCCAGTGCGAACGCAAACAGCAAAACCGAGTTTGGGGGAGAGTAGTTCTTAGAACTGTTTAGAAGTGGACAGTTCCTATAACTAAGTTCCTGTAACTACTTGGTCGGAAAGCGGCTAGATGACGAATCGACTCACCCTTCTTCAACCATCGAACATTAAAATGAAATTTAAAAGTTTAAAAGAATCAACAAGGCACTTTCAACAGACCAAAAATAGCCCCAAAAGCGCGAGTCTTTGGTTAAATATCACTGTAGTAGGCTAATATATATCTGTATTGTATAACAAACAAGCCTTAATCAAAAACGTTCATTAACTTCAGCATTACGTGACACTATATCAAAGTGATTTCCGTCATTTTGACAGATTATAAATTGCATTTACCTGTGAAAACAAACCTGGAAAGAGACGTGAGGATTTGAGGAGAATAACGAGAGATTCTTCGTGGATTCCAGTGAATTATTAATGCAATATCGTAAATTAAATTCGGGAGAACAGACCACAGATGTGCCGTATATGTTCTCCTTTTTCATGCTTTTACAGCGGATTGCAAAGGAAAAAATAAAAATCATCATGAGGAAAAGATACAGCGACTGAAAAGAGCTCTCGCCGTAGATATTCTTGTTATAACATGTCACGTTAAAATACCAAGTATAACGTTATTCTCATGATGTCTGAAAATAAATCATGAAGGAAAACTAGGATCAGCTTTATTTGTAGGGCAACCTTATGATTTGAAATGATTCGTTTTAGCCTTTTTGAATGGAAGTTCCCCAAACCGGAAGTGCCACCCATAATTCAAAACGCAGTAAGGTCTTCACATTTACATTTATTCATTTAGCTGACGCTTTTATCCAAAGCGACTTACAATTGCTATATATGTCAGAGGTCGCACGCCTCTGGAGCAACTAGGGGTTAAGTGTCTTGCTCAGGGACACATTGGTGTCTCACAGTGGATTTGAACCCGGGTCTCTCACACCAAAGACATGTGTCTTATCCACTGCGCCATCACCACCCCACCACCGCCATCTTCAGGAATAAGGTGGATATTTATAGTCGGAGAACCCTTCAGTTTAGCTAACTTACGAGCCAGAAACTTAACGTATTTCTTCTCATGTAAGGATAACTAGATGGATGGAACTAGATGCATATAACGGATAACTAGATGTTTGTTCTGATACAATAAATTGTAACCGGATACGTTGACTGCCTGTTGCTATGGTTACTCACAGCTGATGTAGCCAGCGCATTTATTCATTAATTTCGAACGGTAAACAGTCAGTTTCACCAGAACTCCTTTACTAGGAGTCCTCTATCACTTTTTAATGGACACCCTGCAGCCAATCAGAATCGAGTATTCACCCAGACCATGGTATGAACTAAACTAAACTAAACTAGTGAAACGGTACGTAATGCGCTAGTTTATGATCGAATCAGAGAAAAAAATGCACAAGCGTGGTTTCTCAAGAGAGAGATCGCAGCTCATAAGCAAACTTAAGACGCTGCTGAGACATTACGTCACATCGATGTCACGTGTCTTTACGGGATGTGTGTGAACGCACTCTCTGATTCCGGAACAGTGTGAATGAACCAAAGTCAAACGAACCCGGGTCAAATCCCGGGTCACTTTATCCGTGTATTTTCCGGAATCTCTGTGTGAAAGGGGCTACTGAGACAGATGCAAATGCAAAAGTTCAACTTTTTTCCCCGAAAATTATTGATCTAGAGAGTCCAGAGAATTGCCCTAGACTGGTCTGGTTCCAATCGGGCGAAAAACCAGGGACTAGTTTGCAAAAGTAGGTTTTGGACAAAATTCGACATAGCAGAAAAATTGGAGATATACATTCTGCTCGTCTTGAGCCAAGGATCACAGTGGCGTAAAGACCTTGAGTCTAAGCCAAACGGTCTAGGAGTTATGAGCAATATAGCGCCACCTATGGGCCAATCGGGGTCATACTCTGATAGGCTCTCCCCAAATTGAGGCCTACCATCTGGCCAGGTTTCAAGTCTCCAGCACTTACGGTTTGGTCTGCACGATCAGTTTTACAAATACAATTACAATAGGGTTTCAGCACTTTGTGCTTGAACCCCTAATAAGAATGAGACGTTTTTGACAGTTATAGCGCCACCTATGATTATTGCAGAATCAGAGAGTGCGTTCACACAGAAGGCGTTCTGGCAATTTCCCGGGATCAATGCGCTGTGTGAAAGGGGTACAGAAAAGCCACAGAAAACACTACTTTTATTCTCTTGACAGTTTACGTATTTCATTGTCTAATTTTGTTGGATCGTACAGCACTGTGGTCAGGATGATTGAAGGCTCGTGGTCTTACCGCTCCACGCACGATTGACTTCTGCGAGGAACAGCCGGCTCTGAGATCCGAAAGGTAACTTCAGCACCAACTCCTCGTCAAAGAACGTCACTCGCACTCGAGTGTCCGCACCTTTACAATGAGAAAATAAGCAGCTGTTACGAATCCCAGAGAGGCTTCACATTTGAGTCTCAAGCTGTCGAGATGAGAACAGACCCTCACCGACAACAGCAAGCTCATCTGGAGACGAAACTGTGGAGATATCAGAGAAAACATTATAATACTGGACCATATAAAGTATCCCTAACTACATCATTCAGCCTTACCTTCAACAACTGAAAAGTCATAAGAAATGGGTATGATTTCATCCAGTGTGACATCATCGCCAGTGATGGCCATTCTCCGATGGGAATATAGGAATAACCTGCAAAAAATATTGTCTTTAAGATTACATAACTTATGTAATTAACTAAAAGCACTAAGATATCTGTCACGACCGCTAGTTTCCCCGTTCACACACAAAGGTCGAGCTCTCCCGAATACTGACGGGTTCTGGAACTACAAATCCCACCATGCTTCACTCAGGCACTGATTACACCCTCACCTGTGGATAATGATCACGCTCACAGCTGCACCTCATCCCCAGCCTTATATATTCTCACGCTCACTGCTTGGTCACTGCGAAGTATTGTTTCACCATTGTGTTCAATTCCAAGCGCTTTCTCCGATTGTGATCCTGCCTGTGTGTTTGACCAACTGCCTGTTCTCTGGATCTCATCCTGTCTGCTGCCTGCCCAGATCTCCTGCCTGGTTCCCTTTATGCTTCTGTCTGTTCTATTCCTTTGATTCTCGCTGGTACTGAACCCTTGCCTGTTGACTCTGCTTTTCCTCAATAAACTGTTGCAAATGGATCTGACTGTATCTGATGAGTCACAACAGAATACTTCGCCAGACGAAGATCCAGCAATGGTATCTACGTGGTCAGCCGCTTATTCTGCTCAAGCCAATCAGCTCGCGGCTCACCATCACCAGTTAAACCACTTAACCACGCTAACTGAGGAGTTAATTAAAGCGGTTCGAGCGTTACAAACCTCATCCGCCGACTCATCTTCGGGGTCCGCGCCTCCTTCCGCGCCGCGCGCTCCTGAGCCTCAACCCTCCGCGGGTTCAAACCCCCGTCTTGCTCTTCCCGAGAAGTACGACGGAAACCCAAGTAATCGTGCAGGGTCGGTCAACAGCCGCTGATTATGCTCTCGAATTCCGCACCCTCGCGGCTCAGACGAACTGGACCGACAATGCATTGAAGGTGGTATTCCGGCGAGGCTTAAACCATGAGCTGCAAGCCGAGCTGGCCTGTCGCGATGAGGGAAAGGACCTTGATCAATTCATTCACTTATCTATCCAAATAGACCACCTCATGCGAGCTCGTCGTCCCGGCCAGCGACTTATGTCTTCCATCCGCAACTTTCCCTTCCCTCGAGGTTCTCACTCTGCATCAACAGAGACCAGCGAACCCATGCAGATAAATACCTCCCGCCTGACTCCAGAGGAGAAGGAGAGAAGAAGGTCTCAGAATCTATGTCTGTACTGCGGAGGGGCTGGCCACTTTCATCTCCACTGTCCCACACGACCACCTCTGAGAGATGTAGCACCGGTGAGTCTAACTATTGATTCTCTCAATCCCAATTCCTGTGTCTCTGTACCCCTTGAGTTCATGATTAATGGCCAAGCAGTGTTTACGTCCGCCTTAATTGATTCTGGGGCCGCTGGGAACTTCATGTCCCGAGATTATGCCAGGCATCACAAGATTGCTCTGATTCCCTGTTCTTGTCCCCTCACAGTCGAAGCAGTCGATGGGCGGCCGTTAGGCTCTGGCCTGGTCACCCACATCACTCAGGAAGTTCGCATGCAGACTGGTGCCCTTCACCGTGAGACCATTCAATTTTTCGTATTACATGCTCCACACACACCTGTCATTCTGGGCCTGCCCTGGCTCCGTAAACACGATCCTCATATCCAATGGGCAACTGGTCAAATCATCTGCTGGGGGAGGAACTGTCATACTACCTGTCTCACCACTGTTACACCCTTACCAGTCCTGAGTATCACTGAGCCCCAAGAGTACACTATTACGAATCATCTTCCATCTGTATATCACGATCTGTCAGAGGCTTTCAGCAAAACGAAGGCTTCAAAGCTTCCTCCTCACCGCGCCAATGATTGTGCCATTGATCTGGTGCCAGGGGCTGTTACTCCCAGGGGTCTCATCTTCCCGCTCTCTCAACCTGAGACCGAGGCCATGCGAAGATATATCGAGGAGGAATTGGTGAAAGGCTTCATTCGGCCTTCAACGTCCCCTGCATCGGCAGGTTTTTTCTTTGTTCAGAAGAAAGACGGCGGTCTCCGACCCTGCATTGATTATAGAGCTCTCAATGACTGCACGACCAAATTCCGCTACCCACTACCCTTAGTGCCTGCCGCCCTGGAGCTCCTTCGCAAAGCCAGAGTCTAAGAGTCCAAACTGGATCTGCGGTGTGCCTATAACTTGATCCGCATTCGCGAGGGAGACGAGTGGAAAACCGCCTTTTCCACCTGCACGGGGCACTATGAATATCTAGTTATGCCATTCGGCCTGGCGAACAGTCCAGCGGTCTTCCAGTCCTTTATCAACGAGGTATTTCGGGATATGCTCCATCGAACTGTCATCGTCTACATTGATGACATCCTAGTTTATTCAGACAACTTAAAAGACCACATTCTTCACGTCCGGGCAGTCCTCCAGAGACTCATTCAGCACCAACTTTACGCCAAGATTGAGAAGTGCGAATTCCACCAAACCTCTACCACCTTCCTAGGCTATGTCATTGAGTCCCGAAGGCGTGGCTATGGATGAGGGTAAGGTCAAGGCCGTTGTAGAGTGGCCGCAACCCACCACTCTGAAGGCGTTACAACGGTTCCTTGGGTTTGCGAACTTCTACCGATGCTTCATCAGGAACTTCAGCACGGTGGCTGGGCCTCTGACCTCGCTGGTGCGGAAGAACACAGTACGTCTCCCTTGGAATAAGGACGCAACCCACGCCTTCAACCAACTCAAACACCGATTCACTACGGCTCCCATCCTGCACCACCCAAATCCGGAGTTACCGTTTGTAGTTGAGGTGGACGCCTCCAACACGGGCTTGGGCGCCATCTTGTCCCAACGGCAAGGATCTCCCTCCAAGTTGCACCCCGTCGCCTACTACTCCAGGAAGCTCAATGCAGCAGAGCGGAACTATGACGTGGGAGATCGGGAACTGCTGGCTATGAAGGCCGCTTTCGAGGAGTGGTGGCACTGGCTGGAGGGGGCCTCACATCCGTTCACGGTATTTACGGATCACAAAAATCTAGAGTACCTCCGTACAGCCAAGAGGTTGAATCCCAGACAGGCCAGATGGTCTTTGTTCTTCAGTCGGTTTCAGTTTACGGTCACTTACCGTCCCGGGTCTAAGAATACTAAAGCAGATGCAATGTCTCGCCAGCACGACCCGGACCTGACCTTCCAGTCCCCTGAAACCATCCTGAACCCCGACCTTGTTCTCTGCCCAATCCAGTGGGATATCGAGAGCGAGCTCAGCCAGGCCAACGCCCAGGAAGAAGTTCCCCCAGAATGTCCTCCAGATAAGGTTCACGTCCCCGAGACGTTCCGAAGACGAGTCATGGAACACGTACATGCTCTTCCCAGCTCTGGGCACCCAGGAATAACGGCAACCATCCAACTCCTTCAAAATCACTATTGGTGGTCCACGTTAGTCCACGATGCCACCCAGTTCGTCCAACAGTGCCAAAACTGTAACGCCCAGAAGGCGTCTCGACTACTGCCCGCCGGTCTACTTCAACCACTTCCAATTCCACAGCGCCCCTGGTCACATATCGCCGTTGACTTTGTCACCGACTTGCCCTCTTCCAACGGTTACACCACCATCCTCACTGTGGTAGACCGTTTCTCTAAGGCCTGCCGCCTAATCCCTCTCACCAAACTTCCCACTGCCCTACAGACGGCCGAACACCTCTGCAACTCAGTGTTCCGGTTCTACGGGCTGCCCGACGATATCGTATCCGATAGGGGTCCCCAATTCACCTCTCGAGTCTGGGCAGCCTTCTTCCAAATGCTTCAGGTTAACGTAAGCCTCACGTCCGGGTACCATCCCCAGGCCAATGGACAAGTCGAGCGCCTCAACCAGGAGATCATTCGGTTCCTTCGATCCTACTGCCACCTTCATCAGGAGGATTGGAGTCGGTACTTAATGTGGGCTGAGTACGCCCAGAACTCACTTAGAAAACCTTCTACGGGACTGACTCCTTTCCAATGTGTCCTCGGATTCCAGCCACCCCTGTTCCCATGGTCCGGCGAACCTACGAATGTCCCATCTGTGGAGGATTGGTTAAAGCGCAGTGAGGAGACATGGAACCTTACACACACTCACCTCCAACGGGCCATCAACCGCTGCAAGAGACAGGCCGACCGACACCGCCGACCCAACCCGGAGTATCGGCCTGGTCAATGGGTCTGGCTCTCCACTCGAGACCTCCGTCTTCGGCTCCCCTGCAAAAAGCTCAGCCCGAGATATGTGGGTCCTTTCAAGATCCTTCGGCAGATCACCCCAGTGTCATATCGGCTTGCCCTGCCTAATCACCTCCGCATTGCTCCTACCTTCCATGTCTCGCTGCTCAAGCCAGCCACAGGGCCTACCGAGGGAGGAGAGGAGAGAGCCGCAGATTTGACTCCGCAATCCCTCTTGGTGGAGGGTGAAGAGACCTATCTAGTGCACAAGCTCTTAGACTCCAGGCGCCGGGGTGGCTGTCTACAGTATCTTGTTGACTGGAAGGGGTTTGGTCCACAGGAACGGTCGTGGGTCAACGCCAAAGATATTCTGGATCCCACGCTTACCCAAGAGTTCCACCTAAACCACCCAACAAGACCGGCCCCACGACCACGTGGTAGACCCCGTCGTCGCCAACATTCTCGCGCCGGGAGTCGCTCGCAGGGAGGGGGCTCTGTCACGACCGCTAGTTTCCCCGTTCACACACAAAGGTCGAGCTCTCCCGAATACTGACGGGTTCTGGAACTACAAATCCCACCCTGCTTCACTCAGGCACTGATTACACCCTCACCTGTGGATAATGATCACGCTCACAGCTGCACCTCATCCCCAGCCTTATATATTCTCACGCTCACTGCTTGGTCACTGCGAAGTATTGTTTCACCATTGTGTTCAATTCCAAGCGCTTTCTCCGATTGTGATCCTGCCTGTGTGTTTGACCAACTGCCTGTTCTCTGGATCTCATCCTGTCTGCTGCCTGCCCAGATCTCCTGCCTGGTTCCCTTTATGCTTCTGTCTGTTCTATTCCTTTGATTCTCGCTGGTACTGGACCCTTGCCTGTTGACTCTGCTTTTCCTCAATAAACTGTTGCAAATGGATCTGACTGTATCTGATGAGTCACAACAATATCACATGCTATTGTTAAATGGTTCAATAATAAATCAGTAATAACCAGGCTTCTCATATATTTTTTGGTAACACTAGAATAAGGTTCATTAGTTAACTACATTAGTTAGCATGAACTAATAATGAACTGCACTTATACAGCATTAATCTTTGTTACTGTTTTCAACATTTACTAATACTTTATTAAAATCTTGTTACATTAGTTAACACTGTGTGAACTAATTTTAACAAACAATTAATAGCTTTATTTTTATTAACTAACATTAACAAAGATTAATAAATACAGTAACAAATTTATTGCTCATGGTTAGTTCATGTTAGTTAATGCCAGGCCCGGTTCTAGAACCAAATCACTGAGGGTGCTTCTGAAAATAGTGAGGGTGCTTACATAGGAAATGGCTCCCAGTTGTTATCAGTCTGAAAATAGAAAATAGGGCTGAGCAATACCTATTGTCTACGACAATATTGTAATTGCTGTTATGTTAAACGATATGCAATCTGGCATGATCGAGTTGCATATGTCCCTCACTTTGCAAAAAACAAACAAAAACATGCCACGCATAGCCTACACTGTGATGTTATCCTATAGTTCAGACCATGGCGCATGCATTTAGAGTGTTTTACTGCACGGTTTAAATGCAGCTAGAATGGCCAAAATTCAAAATATGGGGGGGAAATGCCCTGTACGAGTTTTTGTCCTTTACATTTATATCATATGATATAGTTAAGAAATGTTGCACACAGAGTGCTTTTCCCCCAAATATCAGCAGTATTGCAAATGTGTGAAGTATTGAAACTGATTTTATTCTGCAGTTGAATAAAGAAGTTAATATAAGTAACTTACATTTTAGACATTTAGTTTCTGACGACAATGAATCAGTCCTTTTGAACAAAATAGCTGATTTAAAGATTCAGTGACTCACTCATTAAGACAGTCAAATGCTTTGTTGCTAAATGAACAAAATTTGAAGGAAAGTCAAAAAAGGAAACTCAAAACGAGGAGACAGAGTTCATGGGAAAGTCGAGAAGAATGAGTTATGTGGAAGAACGTATGGCTGTCAATAGGAGTCAGGACCAATGATTTTGGGACACAGCACCTAAAAGGAAGAAACAAAGATTAAAAGTTAGTCAAATTGCTTAACTTAACTAGGAGAGTAGAGAATCAGGTATGATTTTTAAATAAAATAGTAATTATTCAAGAAATATTATTACATGTTACATATTAAATTATTAAAATTATAAGAAATTTAATTATTAAAAATATACATACAATTATTAATTTAGAATCATACAAGTTAGAATAATAAACATTAGTCATATATGTCATATGCAAAAAATGTTCTTACCCTCATTCAGAACAGCTGCAGCCTCCTTGATGCAGTGCTGAATCTTCTCAGTAGTTTCTCCTTCCATTCTCCAGTGAACTTACATGTGAGGTCCCTCTCAACTGCAAGTTGAATCAGATTTGCTTTTCTTTTGTGAAGCATACTCCTACGGTGGTCGCTGAACACATTCTTAAGTGTTGAAAATGAACTCTCACATGTAGCTGTTGATGCTCCAAATGTTAATCCAAGCTTTAGTGTTTGCAGCACGGTAGGCATAGCTGATAGAGCATCATGGTATCTTTGCAAAATGCTAGCAGTTGTACAGTTTTCATCTGATTTGGCAATTTCATCTTGCAAAAACTGCTGTGCCACAGAAAACTCTGCTTCCTTAAACTCCATCCCTGTTAAGTCCAACAGTGGTTTCACTTTGTCTCCATCCATAAAAAATGCACTCCTTGGATGTAGAGCACTCAGGGCCTGTATAAACTTGCTATTTCGCTCACAAAATCTGGTGGACTTTTCGCCAACTACTGCGTCCAGGATACTAAAATACAGTCTTTTACATTCTGTCTTTTCTCCTTCCATTCTGGTTTGACCAAACGTTGTATCCACCACATAGTCTTTCCATTGTGTGCTCACTTCTCTTCGTCGTTTCTGTCCAGGAACTGCAGGGAGTTCTGCTTCCTCTCTCTTTTTGTTTAATTCCTCCCAAAGCATGTCAAACTGATTCTCACATCTCAGTTCCACCACACACTTGAGGGCACTCTGTACCACACTGATACCAGTGAATAGGTTGGTGGTGTGTGCTTGAAGAAAAGTGTTAGGGGGGTCCAGCAAACTCAACACTTTATGTATCATACAGGCTATAAAGTGGAAACTAGGCTGTGTGATGGCCTTCAGTAGCCCTGTGGCCTCAAGCCTCATTTCTGTGCTGCTGGTTTGGTTGTCTTCAATCTGCTGTAGCAGGGAAAGAATGCTGTTAAAGGACTTCATGATGACCGTAACTGTTGCCAGGTGTCCAGTCCAACGCTGTTCTAGCAAACGCTTCAACTTTTGTCCATTGTACACTCTGGCCACTGTAGGTTTTCTGAAGTACTTATAAAGAGAGCTGCATACATCGAAAAAGTTTGCCAATGCATTTTCAGAAGACATGGCATGCACGATAACCAGGTGGAGTTGGTGGTTAAAACAATGCACATATGGCACTTCTCTCTGTAATTCCTCTTGCAAGAGTTTCTGTACCCCACCTTGTGTTCCTGACATGACACTTGCCCCATCATAGCACTGGCTTAGAATTTTGTCAGTGCTTAATCCATTATCTTTAAGTTGTGATAAAACCAACTTGGTCAGAGACATGGCATCAAAGTGCTGAGTCGTTGCCATCGAAACAAGCCTCTCTTTCACACAGTTAGTCTTGTCCACATAACGCAGCACAATCTAAATGTTTTCACATCCAGTGGGATCTTTGGTGCCATCCACTTTTAATGTGTACCACTCATCTCCGATTTCTTTGACTATCTCTTCTGTTAAAATTTCGCTCATGTTTTCAATAATTTCATTCTGGATATTATTTGAGGTGTATGTGGCATTGGATGGTATTGTGCTGAAAATCTTTGCAAGCTCCTTATCCTTTTTAAGAGTATAGTCCATCAAAGCTAAAAAAATCCCACAGCCTTCTTTACCCCTTGCATCCACTGCATCTACAGATCCACGAAAAGGCAGCTGGTTCACAGCTATGAATTCGATTATGTCCACAATAGCAGATAGATAAGCGCGGTTCCTTTCCAGCTGATGTGAATTAACAAGAGATGAAATCTCAGTACCTTTCTTGACTCTAGAAAGCCTCTCCTTCCACAGCACCACTGCTGACATGTGTTCTTTACTGCATTCGTGTCTTTTTAGTCCCTTGTTTTGAACGAGGGCATGGCGCCAATTGTTGTAACCAGAGGTGGTGAAGGCATCATCTGTCCCAGCTGAGCCAAATTTACGACACACATAACAAAATGCAGCATCGCGTTCAACAGAATATTCGAGCCAATCTCTATTTTTAAACCAAGAACTGCTAAATGAACGACTATTTCCACTGCCACTAAAAGGTCGACTGGGGTATAACAAGCACATCACCTGTAAGGGCTCTTCATCACCTAGGTCACTCGGCGGCGTCGGCGCCATCGGCCGCGGCACTTGCTGGGATTTATCGCCGGTGTTTGAATGGGTGTCATGCGGTGAGAGTGAGGTTGTAGGGCGGGGTTCACTGCTGTCATCGGCAGGCGGTGTAATATCGACTTTTTGTGATGTAGAGGTTTGAGCTTTCTTGAGCCAATTTCGTATGTCCATGATTAACAATGGACTATTAATATTTTTAGCCTACCTACAAGCCCCGTCTCAGAAAGTTAGCTAACGTATTTCCTGAGCGGGACGCAGACGCACACACGCAAACAAAGTGGGCAATTAAAGAGACAGTTTCACCTATGCGTATCACGATCGCGAAAGGACAACCAATCAAATGCATTAAACATGAAAGCATAATGAAATAATTTCTGATTTGAAAAATCGTGTTAATGGATTTATTTTGTGTATTATATGTATGAGTGTGAAATCCGTCTGTGTTTCTATTGTCAGTAAAATCTCGTTTACATGTTGGCTATTAAAAATTTCATCTGAGGGTGCTTTCACTTTTGTTTGAGGGTGCTTAGCACCCTCAAGCACCCCCGTAGAACCGGGCCTGGTTAATGCATGTTAACTAATGAACCTTATTGTAAAGTGTTACCATTTTTTCTCAGAAGGGACTGTACATTTGACATTTTTATAGAATTTTAAAATGTTTTCCATTATTATATGTTAGTCTCAAATTAAATGCATGCACTAACCCGGTAACCCCACACTAAATATCACCTGTGCGTTATATTACCAGTATGTTAGTTTAGTTAGTGTTACTGCTGAAAGTCTATAACTCACGCATGTTCGTTGCTCTGCTGCACGAGTCCGATCAGTTTGCTCTCTCTCACATCATTCAGCAGTGAAACACACTCCACAGCATGTGCACGGCTGCTAAGGATACATACATGCTCATACAACACGATATATTACATTTTCGACCACCAAAATATCAGGATGATGACCGACGTTCACTTCACAAGAAGAACCGCCATTTTAGTTTACTGTAAATTGGCGACATCTGGCGGACATGTCAGGAATTACACACTGAAATTTCCTTTTCCTTTTCCTATAAAAACTGGGCATGCTCAAAAAAAGACATGCATTGTAAGCAGAAATGAAGATAATTATGGACTACGCGATATTCTTTATAACTAAAGATTGATTTAAACTGGGTATGTTTAAATAGTACAAAGTTTCGCACCAAGTTATGCATCAAAACATGCAGTCAATTCAAAAGCACGGTTTTATTTTGAGCAGCAAGAGAGATAGCGGTGTGAGAGGATACTATTTTGCAGTTTTCCCCTTTGGCCAAAGTCTCTTGAATTGCCACGGACTGATCCATAATTCACAGCAAGTCTGTACCCGATACTTCTTCAAGCGCAAGACGTGTCATTTAAGATCGTTTAAAGTGTGTGTGTGTTCGTGGTTTCCTCCGCGACTTCCCTTTGTGCCACGCAGCAGATCCAGCTCATCTTCATCAGTTTATCAGCATCTGTAGTCGCTTATGAAGAGTCTCGGATGAAACCACGTCTGATTGTCCTCTTCTTTATTACTTTTCTTCTGACCGTCAGACACCAAACTTGGCAGAATCAGTGGTCTCAAATCCCACCCACTACTCTTTACTGCAGATCCACTAGGTGGCGCTATAGGGGTTTTATTTTAGCTCAAAGAACCTGGTATGTTTTAAACACCATTTGTCCTACTATCTCTGAAATGTATATTGCATGCATACTGTAATAGTATGCATATTTTCTGTGTAGGGTTAGGGCTCTGTTTGGTATGAAATACTAGTATACTAAGTTACTTTTAGTTAAAACAGAACATATTCTAGACAGAATAAGTCAGATCACTCCAGTCAAAATAATATATTACTTCTGCTTTTTTCATCATGCTGGAATTGGAAAGTCGAGTCAAGCATTGTATTGTGGGAAACAGCATCTAAGGCAGTGCGTTATGTGTACTGTACATGTTGTAGCCTAGATTATTTTTACTCTTTTAAAATGTGCATACCTTACAGTATGCACTGTAAATAGTGTAGTATGCAGTGCAGTATGCATTGAAATGTGTAGTATAGTATGCACTGTAATAGTGTAGGTGGTGTGGTATGCACTGTAATAGTGTAGTATGTAGTATAGGTTGCACTGTAATAGTGTAGTATGCAGTGCAGTATGCATTGTAATGTGTAGTATAGTATGCACTGTAATAGTGTTGTATGTAGTGTAGTATGCATTGTAATGTGTAGTATGTGTTGTGTGTAGTGTGGTATGCACTGTAATAGTGTAGTATGCACTGTAATGGTGCAGTATGTGCTGTATGTAGTGTAGTATGCACTGTAAGTGTAGTATGAGTTGTATTTAGTGTAGTATGCACTGTAATAGTGTAGTATGTGCTGTATGTAGTGTAGTATGCACTGTAAGTGTAGTATGAGTTGTATTTAGTGTAGTATGCACTGTAATAGTGTAGTATGTGTTGTATGTAGTGTAGTATGCACTGTAATAGTGTAGTATGTGTTGTATGTAGTGTAGTATGCACTGTAATAGTGTAGTATGTGTTGTATGTAGTGTAGTATGCACTGTAATGGTGCAGTATGTGCTGTATGTAGTGTAGTATGCACTGTAAGTGTAGTATGAGTTGTATTTAGTGTAGTATGCACTGTAATAGTGTAGTATGTGTTGTATGTAGTGTAGTATGCACTGTAATAGTGTAGTATGTGTTGTATGTAGTGTAGTATGCACTGTAATAGTGTAGTATGTGTTGTATGTAGTGTAGTATGCACTGTAATAGTGTAGTAAGTGTTGTATGTAGTGTAGTATGCACTGTAAGTGTAGTATGAGTTGTATTTAGTGTAGTATGCACTGTAATAGTGTAGTATGTGTTGTTTTTAGTGTATTATGCACTGTAAAAGTGTAGTATGTGTTGTTTTTAGTGTATTGTGCACTGTAATAGTCTAGTATGTGTTGTATGTAGTGTAGTATGCACTGTAATAGTGTAGTATGTGTTGTTGTATGTAGTGTAGTATGCACTGTAATAGTGTAGTATGTGTTGTTTTTAGTGTAGTATGCACTGTAAGTGTAGTATGAGTTGTATTTAGTGTAGTATGCACTGTAATAGTGTAGTATGTGTTGTATATAGTGTAGTATGCACTGTAATAGTGTAGTATGTGTTGTTTTTAGTGTATTGTGCACTGTAATAGTCTAGTATGTGTTGTATGTAGTGTAGTATGCACTGTAATAGTGTAGTATGTGTTGTATGTAGTGTAGTATGCACTGTAATAGTGTAGTATGTGCTGTATGTAGTGTAGTATGCACTTTAAGTGTAGTATGAGTTGTATTTAGTGTAGTATGCACTGTAATAGTGTAGTATGTGTTGTTTTTAGTGTATTATGCACTGTAATAGTGTAGTATGTGTTGTTTTTAGTGTATTATTCACTGTAAAAGTGTAGTATGTGTTGTATGTAGTGTAGTATGCACTGTAATAGTTTTACCCATATCTGAGTGTTGAATATGTCTCCTCTCAGTCTTTCATTAATGTGAATACTAAATTCCCAAGCCTTTTAATATACTAATATAGATTTAATATAGACTGGTTTGGTTGATCCAATTCAGCAGTTAAAAAAAGCAGCAGCATTTTTAGGAGAATGTAAAGCACAAGAAACTGTACAAATAAACGCTAGGCTGGGTGCTGAGAAGATAAAGCATTTTATTTATTAATTTCAAAAGCAGTTTATTAAGATCTATTGCTTGTGTAAAGATGAAGCTGGTTATCATATCAAGTTACTATAAATATATCAGTATTTCATTGTTTTCATATATAAGCAGTACAGAGAGATAAAAATCATTGCAACCCTTTATCAACCGAGCTGTCAAAATCTATATCATGACCTTTATTATATTGTCAGTACATTAGTGTTATCCAGCAAAGTTATGATATCACATGTAATTTAATAAAATAAGCATAAACTATGCATTTAGATCTGTACAGTTGCATTTAATAAACACATTTCTCTGAAAAAATAAAGCTTTATGTTAACGAGTATGGGTTTTACCCACAGGCTTTTTATATGTCCAATATTATAAATGCATTATAAATATTTTACATTGTCTAATTTCCATTTAGATGCATAAAGTGCGTATTTCATTTGTTTGGCGTTAACTGGTTTGTACTTAACTATTATTTTGCAAAGGTGAAATCTGCCTGGTTTGAACAATCAATTTGTTATTTTATATAATTAGTATAAATAAATAAACTGTCCGCACACTTAAATCCTTTAAGCAAATTTAATCACCAAGCTTTCGGTCAAAAGACCATCCTCAGGGCATCTGAGGATGGTCTTTTGACCGAAAGCTTGGTGATTAAATTTGCTTAAAGGATTTAAGTGTGCGGACAGTTTATTTATTTTTTGAGATATTTAGTCTTGTTTGTCTGGCACTTTGATGATCGTGAGTGCGGTGTAACTTCTTCAAAATATAATTAGTATAAGAAATTGGATTATCTAAGCATTCTAAGGAAATTCTTTGGAGTATTTTTGAGTAATATGGAATATAAACTTGGTTGTCACAATAAATATATATATATATATATATATATATATATATATATATATATATATATATATATATATATATATATATATTTAGAATGCACAACACCTGTGTACTACAGACAAAACAAAATATGAGTAAGAGAAATATGCTTCAGATAAAGACATGATTGACTACAATAAAAATGTATACATACATACATACATACATACACTCTGAGAGAAGTTTGTAAAAAAAAATATGGCCCTTTCTGTAATGATTTTTCTCTGGTGTTTTGAAATATTATATCCATATAGTATCCATATATCCAAATAGTATCCACTGTAATAGTGTAGTACTGTATGCAGTGAAGTATCCACTGTAATGGTGCAGTAAGTGTTGTATGTAGCGTAGTATGCACTGTAATAGTGTAGTATGTACTGTAGTATTCACTGTATTAGTGTAGTACAGTATGCAGTGTAGTATCCACTGTAATGGTGTAGTATGTGTTGTGTGTAGCGTAGTATGCATGCACTGTAATAGTGTAGTATGCAGTGTAGTATCCACTGTAATGGTGTAGTATATGTTGTATGTAGTGCAGTATGCACTGTAATAGTGTAGTATGCAGTGTAGTATGCAGTGTAATAGTGTAGAATGCAGTGTAGTATCCACTGTAATGGTGTAGTATGTGTTGTATGTAGTGTAGTATGTGTTGTATGTAGTGTAGTATGCACTGTAATGGTGTAGTATGTGTTGTATGTAGTGTAGTATGCACTGTAATGGTGTAGTATGTGTTGTATCTAGTGTAGGGTTGAAGGAAATGCCCTTAAACTTAACGGAAAAGGTTACGTTTAACATTCTCCATTTTTATGTACGGAGTTTGTTGTAGAATTTTAATGCCAAAAAAAGAGCAAGAATTAATAACAGATACTAGTGATGTATGTCTCGAGACCGGTCTCGGTCTTGTCACGGCCTTGACGGTCTTTGGTCTTGGTCTTGTCTTGGTCTCGGACCTCTCGGTCTTGTCTAGGTCTCGCTGTCTCAGACCGACATAGTGGTCGGGGGATTTAGCAATATCAATATCCACGACGATATCCGCAACGGATTGAAGCGCGTGTCCGAGTGAAGACAGTGCGGTGCGCAAGCCGTATCCGCGCCACTGATCGCTGCGGCAACGAGCACTTTGATCACTTGATTTAAAAAACACATATCATGTACAGTTTTTGATGTATTAATATTTAGTAAAACACATAGGCCTATCAGTGACATGATGGGTTTTAACTTCATTCAGGAGATTTTGGATAACTGCACAACTGACAGATGACTTTGAGCGCACCGCCAACGGTGTGTGTGTGTAACCATAGCGGCAAAACAACCAACTTTCGGATCCTAGACTTTAGCTTATAATTTCGTTTTTAAAAATATAATTATGTATTTAAAAGTTGCAGAATGGATTCATTTGGAGACTTCGAAATCGGCAGAGAAAGGCAGGCAATGCAAAACAAAATCTTACAAGTTATTGCTTAGCTTCAACAACACTAGTCTGTTTTTTTTTCCCCCTCCGGTCTCGGTCTTGGTCTCGACTTGGTCTCGGTCTTGGTCTCGACTTGGTCTCGGTCTTGGTCTCGACTTGGTCTGTCTTGGTCTTGGTCTTGTCTTGGTCTCGATACCCTCTGGTCTTGGTAGTGTCTTGGTCTCGGTTTAGGCGGTCTTGACTACAAGTCTAACAGATACACAACTCAGTAACAATCTGTATGTAAGAATAAGCAAACCTCATATTTGTTGCTTCAGTGTTATTCCTTGGTGGCTGATTTCAGTGAAATAAAGAATCCAACAACAGGCACGCTCCCACTTGACAGAACTCTCTATGGATCCCCACGTAAAGCTTATTTGGCATCTATACACATATATACACACATGCCCACATTCTGCTTTTCATACGGATCTTGTAGACACACACACACGTGCTTATATCACAGATAATGTAAAAGGGACAGTAAAAGATGTACAAACAGCTTTAAAACAAACATAGGCCTACACTTTCTGCGCTTTCTTGGATTGCCTGTAAATGTGACTTTGTTGCACTCAAGTGAAGACTCTCAGTATCCAGAAGAGCAGTAGAGAGGCGATCAGCAGCGCGGGAGAGTGAGGACCCCTGGTGGCGGAGCTGGGCATGTTCACTTCACCGGTCAGTTTGAGGCACGAGGCGGTCGAAGTGGCATTGCAGCACTCCAAGTAGCAGGTAGTAACGGAGGTTGAACAAACCGCCATCTTTCTGCAATCCTCACTGCAACCTGCTTGCCAACTCTCTATGCTGCCAGATGTTGTCTTTTTTAGCTAAAAAAAATTAGACAATGATTGTTTCGATTAAACATGTGCATTTAGCATCAGAGCTGATCCTTTCTGAATATCACATGGTTTAAAGTCAACATGAAATGAAAACTGACCCTATTTACTGTCTTAAAGGGGACCTATTATGCCTTTTACAGAGCCTTGATGTTGTTTTGGGCTCTACTACAACAGGTTTAGATGATTGAATGTTGATTATTTTCCCCATATTATCCATTGTTGCAGCTCCTCTCTTCCCAGTCTGTCAGTAACGCTCTGTTTACTTCCTGTCTCTATGAAGCCCCTCCTTCTGAAAAGCACACTGTGCTCTGATTGGTCGGTTGGATCAGTGTGTTGTGATTGGTCAAGCGCTTCGAGCGCGTTTTGGGAAATGTCCCACCCCTTATCATAACCGCCAGTTTCAACACGCTACTAACTAACTCAACCAGGCCCTGCCCCTTTATTCTGCATATTAATTAATTAATGAGGAATATTGTGACGTGTTCGTTCCAGGAAGAAACTCGAGACTACAATGGAGGCGTTTCAGGAGTTCAGAAACACTGACACTGATATAGAGAATAACTGGAGTTTTGCAGAGCTTTATCACGCTCAAACAGCAACATTACATACCAAAGACCAATGAACATGGAGAAAAGCATAATAGGTGATCTTTAAAACATGCTTAAGACCTTAATGACATTCACCACACAAAAACGTTTCAGAATACGGTGGCAATGTTATCCCGGGCAAGCCCCCACTTATTTGATCAACCTCCTCGTACGGACAGACGTCACACAGCTTTATTTTTCGTCTGCAGCTTTAAATGTTCAAGCTCTTTAATGTCAGGTGGATTCTGATTGGCTGAAGATGCCCTTGTTGACTCTGGTTCCATAGGAAACTTCATCTCTGAACAACTCCTCCATCAACTCAACATCCAGAAATCCCCTGCCCCTTGGTCGAGGCATCATCCCTCACCATACCCCTACCCTCACTCTCCACATCTGATGTACTCATGTAGAGGAGATCTCGCTGCTGGTTCTGGAGGGCTCAGCTGGGACGCACTTGGCTTAAGATTAACTCTCCTCAAATATCTTGTACCACTGGTAAGGTTCTGGCCTGGAGTGAGACTGTCTTCTTTGACTGTCTTCAGCTTCCCAAAAAGTCCCTAAAACCTGCGTGGGTGCACACCGTACCTCTCAATGCCATCACGGTGGAGAGCCCTTGAAGTGAGAGTAAGATGGTCATTCCAGCCGAGTACCAGGCGTTCCAGCAGAGATGGGGACTCGAGTCTGAGACTCGGACTCGAGTCGCACTTAAGTCGCACAAACAGCTGACTTAGGACTTGACTTGCGACTCGACCCAAAAGACTTAAGACTCGAGCTTTGAGACTTGTCAACAACCTGTTTTCATGCAATTATTGCTTTTTAAATCTAAATTCATGAATGTATTCCTATTTTTTTTTATTGGCGCATATATACGTTGGGGAAGCGTATGATGAGCTGCATGCCGTGTCCCCTGCCCTTTGCCATACTGTGCAACGTGCATGCGCTATGCCTATGTGCGCGCCGCGCGCACTCACATATCAGAAAATGCATTGACGATGGCGACACCAAGTCCTCCCGGAGTTGTGCCTTTTGTCATTAGTTTTGGTTTTAATAACTTTACAAACAGTGGCGGTAAGCGAACAACTACATGCAAGATAAATGATGCCGGATCCACAACGTCGAACTTCATCAGGCACCTCAAAACGCACCCAGATAGGTCAGTCACTTGCTAATGTGAAAGAGACGTTAAATTTAGCATATATCGTCACAGGTACAGTAACAAGCTAACCATCACAAAGTGTTGTATCCATATAATGTGACAGACTTAGGTTAATATTTCACCAGGTCCGAGGGCTAGAGGGATGTGTTAAGTAGCAGAAGATTAGACAATACGATGTCGCAAGACACTCACGACAGTTTGTGAAATAGTCACGAAATTTAAATCTATTGATTTGTGTACACGGACATGATTTTCTCATTTTTTTCGTGTCTCTTAGCACGTTTCCAAATTCATGTCTCTCAGCAGGGGGACAGATCAGATGGCAAGAGAGACTTGAGACTTGACTTGGACTCGTAGCAAAAGACTTGAGACTTGACTTGAACTTGCCCCTCAAAGACTTGAGACTTGACTCGGACTTCCAAAAAATGACTTGTGAACATCTCTGCGTTCCAGGAGGCTTAACTACCACCTCATCAATCAAGGGACTGATCTCCGATTGCCAGCCGGGTGCACCATAGCCCAAAGGTAGGATCTATCCACTTTCCATCCCAGAACAGAAGCCATGGGGGAGTATGTAGAATAGGCTCTTTGCAAGGGCTACATCTGCCCTTCTACCTCCCCTGCCACTTCCAGAGGCTTGCGGCCATGTATTGATTATCGAGTACTCAACCAACATACCATCAAGTACTGATACCCTCTTCCCCTGGTTCCTGCAGCCCTCGAGAATCTTCGGGGGTCCACGATCTTCATCAAGCTGGACCTGTGTAGCGCGTACAACCTCATCCGGATAATAAAACCCACTGGGCACTACAAGTAATGGCGTATAGGGTAATGCCGTACAGGCTAGCCAACTCACCCTCTGTATTCCAGGGATTTATGAATGACGTTTTTTAGGAGTACCTCCATCGCTTCCTGATGATCTACATCACTGACATCCTGATCAACTCCCGGAACGAGACTGACCATTATCTCCACGTTAAAGCTTCGGGAAAACATCATCTACTTCAAACTTGAGAAGTCTGAATTTCATCTACCCTCTATTCAGTTCCTCGGATACATTATTGGTGCAGACGGAGGTTAGAAACTGGCCCATTCCCTCCACAGTAAAATAAATGAAAGCTTTAGCGTAAGTTCTGCCGGGAAGACTCAATGGTTACGTCACTTATTACCTTCTCATCTATCCAATCGTGTTCTAATACTTGTTGTATAAAAGATCGGTACTTACACATGTCTGAGATCGCAGATGTTGGCGCCTACATTCACCTCCATCCTCCTCACCATCACCAGGATGGTCCCTTCCCATACCTCCCAGGGGATCGGCTGCGCCCCTGCCTTCGTCTTCAGGCAGGAAATGCTTTATTCCGTACCCTCGGATTGCGAGCTACCGACGGGGCCTACGCCAAAGAACTTTATATCTTAATACTTGCTTGCTGGGTTAATAAATGCATACTTGTTACATTATTTTGCCTCCCAAGTTTTTCTGGTAGAACTACAACGCTTCCTCGGATTCATCAACTTCTACGGAAGCTTCATCTCCAACTTCAGCCAAATTGCCTCTGCATTAACCTCTAACTCTGCAATAAGCCCAAGCCTCTGTTCTGGACAACAGCAGCCACAACCACCTTCATACGGCTGAAAGCAGCATTCACCACCACACTCACGGTCGTCCACCCTGATCCAGAACATCCTTTCATCGTAGAAGTTGCACATCAACCTCTGGAGTAGGTGGGGTTTTGTCTCAGTGAAACTTCATCCATGTGTCTTCTTCTCTAAAATTATGACATTGGTAACTAGGAGCTATTAGCCAACAAACTAGCCTTAGATGAGTGGCGCCATTGGTTGGAGGGAGCGAAGTACCCCATTTGAGGTAATTACCGTAATCTGAAGTACCAACGTGAAGCGCACTATCTGAATCCTCGTCAGGATTGGCCATTATTCTTCACCAGATTCAACTTTACATTATCCTACCGACCTGGATCGAAGATTGTGAAGGCATACGCTTTCTCTCGTTTGCATTCTCCAGACTCTCCGACGGTCCCTCCTCACATAATCATCATCACCTCACCCTCATGGACTCACTGATGTTCACTCATCCTTGGGCTTTGGTCACTCAGGCATTCAACAAAACCTTTTCACTCCTCCGCAATCGCTTCTGGTGGCCATTTATGTCTCAGGAAGTTCATCGTTTGGTACAAGGATGTCCCATTTGTGCCATCTCTAAATCTCCCAGATACCTGCTGGCAGGCCAGCTGATAGTCCTTTCCCCTCCTCTGCTCTTCCTCTCCTGTTCCTCTCCCCTCCTCTGCTCTTCCTCTCCTGTTCCCCTCCCCTCCTCTGCTCTTCCTCTCCTGTTCCCCTCCTCTGCTCTTCCTCTCCTGTTCCTTTCCCCTCCTCTGCTCTTCTTGACAGTGACGCATTTCAGCCGGCTTTTCATTTCTCATCTCCATAAATATATCTAGTAGTAAAGCTAATGCAAGGGCTAGAAATCAATGAATTCTTTGCTAATACTTTCTCGTCATCTTGGAGAGCGCAGTTCGCACCGCTTTCTCCTTTCCACAAGCGCTTGCTCTCCCGTGGCGTCTGTCGTTGCTATGCAACAATGAACTTAGGCGCGCCTGTAAAAATGAGCGCGCCGCGTCGCTATTATGAGCTAATATCCAAAATATTTCCATATGTGGCTCTTTCCTCCTTTCTTATCAACAAGTGGATTTACAGCCACCACATCAGCAGCACCACCGGTCGCCATGTCTCAGCGCTTTTATGAAGAGGACGCAACTGCACGCGCTTCGGGCATGCACGCGCATCTAGTACCGGGTTTGAGAAAACTTGTTACCGTGGCGTGATGTCTAAAAAAAATTAGTACCGACTTGGTACCGAAGTACCGGGTCTTTGACAACACTCATAAACGTTGGCTGCGCTGTGTCTTACCTTGCTCTACGTTGACTTTACTAAAGTTAGTTCCAGCTTCACCGTCACCACCTTTTTTAAAATGTTTGTTTAGGTCTGTTTATCTCGAAGGCCTCTATTTTCTTCTTCTCTTTTCTTTTCTTTTCTGAGCACTGGACTTGTGCTGACCGGACATTTTAAGCGTAACGTTAGCCTACTGAACTTCAAATCAAATGACTATATCAAGTTTTGATCAGTGGCCAAACCATTTTTGTTTTTTTGGGGTGGGGGGGTGGGGGTGGGGGGTTCTTGACCAATATTTCAAGGACAATTAGGAAGAAAACAAATAAAAAGCTTTTATGTAACTCAAATATTAGATATTTTTTCCACAAATATGCCTATTTTATTTATTTTTTAACAATTATTCCATGATTTAATGAGGACCCAGGTAATAAATATCAAAAATATTTTTTCCCAAGGACAAAAACATTCATACAAAGAAAAAAGATTATTATTCATAAAGACCATTGTGGCGAGCAGGACGAGGTCGAGGGCCGTGGGAGGACGGCGTGAGTGCTGTCTTTAATTTCATTTTGTATTTGTTTATTTTAATGGCCGTCCGCCATGATGGGGAGGAGCAGGGAACGGGGGACTCCTGCCGTCTGCCCGTATCCGGAGGAGCCGTCGCCGTCCACAAGGCATCGGAGGAGTGTCGAGCCGTCCACGGAGGGCTATCCAGCGCCACCGCCAGGCACTGCGGAGAAGATCACCCAGCTGGTGGAGGACCAGATAACAGTGCATTGTGGGAACCGGCAAATTTTTTTTTTTTTCTCCACTCTCTCGTCTCTGTCGCTCTTCATGCTTCCGTCTCCTTTTCTCTATCATCTATCCATACCCCCCAGACCAGTCCCCCCGGAGAGAGAGGGGGGGAGGGGGGTAGTGCGCAGTCTCGGGTGTGCCCTCCGACATGCGGTATGTGGCGAGCAGGACGAGGTCGAGGGCCGTGAGAGAGTGGCGCGAGGCCGGTGCCGTGATTACTGATGAGCGACACCTGCGCGACGCACCGGTCTCGTATCTCTCACGGGGGAGCAACGACAGTGGAGATCGAGAGAGGCCAGGCCTGGATTTATGTTGTGTTTTGTTATACATTCACCTAAAGGATCATTAGGAACAACATACTAATACTGTGTTTGACCCCCTTTCGCCTTCAGAACTGCCTTAATTCTACGTGGCATTGATTCAACAAGGTGCTGAAAGCATTCTTTAGAAATGTTGGCCCATATTGATAGGATAGCATCTTGCAGTTGATGGAGATTTGTGGGATGCACATCCAGGGCACGAAGGTCCCGTTCCACCACACCCAAAGATGCTCTATTGGGTTGAGATCTGGTGACTGTGGGTGCCATTTTAGTACAGTGAACTCATTGTCATGTTCAAGGAACCAATTTGAAATGATTCGAGCTTTGTGACATGGTGCATTATCCTGCTGGAAGTAGCCATCAGAGGATGGGTACATGGTGGCCATAAAGGGATGGACATGGTCAGAAACAATGCTCAGGTAGGCTGTGGCATTTAAACGATGCCCAATTGGCACTAAGGGGCCTAAAGTGTGCCAAGAAAACATCCCCCACACCATTACACCACCACCACCAGCCTGCACAGTGGTAACAAGGCATGATGGATCCATGTTCTCATTCTGTTTACGCCAAATTCTGACTCTACCATCTGAATGTCTCAACAGAAATCGAGACTCATCAGACCAGGCAACATTTTTCCAGTCTTCAACTGTCCAATTTTGGTGAGCTCTTGCAAATTGTATCCTCTTTTTCCTATTTGTAGTGGAGATGAGTGGTACCCGGTGGGGTCTTCTGCTGTTGTAGCCCATCCGCCTCAAGGTTGTGCGTGTTGTGGCTTCACAAATGCTTTGCTGTATACCTCGGTTGTAACGAGTGGTTATTTCAGTCAAAGTTGCTCTTCTATCAGCTTGAATCAGTCGGCCCATTCTCTTCTGACCTCTAGCATCAACAAGGCATTTTCGCCCACAGGACTGCCGCATACTGGATGTTTTTCCCTTTTCACACCATTCTTTGTAAACCCTAGAAATGGTTGTGCGTGAAAATCCCAGTAACTGAGCAGATTGTGAAATACTCAGACCGGCCCGTCTGGCACCAACAACCATGCCACGCTCAAAATTGCTTAAATCACCTTTCTTTCCCATTCTGACATTAAGTTTGGAGTTCAGGAGATTGTCTTGACCAGGACCACACCCCTAAATGCATTGAAGCAACTGCCATGTGATTGGTTGATTAGATAATTGCATTAATGAGAAATTGAACAGGTGTTCCTAATAATCATTTAGGTGAGTGTATGTGACAGCAGTCATCCGTGAGGGGCTGCTGTCTTTACTTTCATTTTGTATTGGTTTATTTAATTATTAAAGTCTTTAAATGTTCGCCAGTTCCCGCCTCCTTCTTCCCATAACAATGAACTGTGTTACAACCATATAAGTAATCAATATATTTTCCAAAAGGATACTTAATGTAGGTAAATAATAATTTATTTTACAACTTAATTTCAACATAAACAAAAGCTCAATTAGCTATAATGTGAAAGTAGAATTTTCACTTAAAGGGATAGTTCACTTTGAAATTAATTTTTGGTATGTTTTAGCTTACCTCAAGGGCATCCAAGATGTAGGTGTCTTTGTTTCCGCAGTAGTTTCAATTTTGATATTTTTAGGTCAAACCGTTCTTGTCTGTCAGTCATATAATGCAGGTCTATGGTCACCACCTCAAAGAGCATGCACAGAGAAGTCCAAATTAAACATGATTTAATGACTCGTAAATGTAAGTACACATTGATGGGCTAAGACACGAAACGAGCGGTTTGTGTGAGAAAACGAACAGTATTTATATAGTTTTTACCTCTTGTAACCACAGCCACGTCCAAGTGATCTGAGGGCACCGGCGCTTCGGTCTTTTCCGGAAAGCGCCGGAAGTGATCTCTCGCGCGTGTACGTCACTCATTGTTTACACAGAACAGAGATTGTAGGTAAGACGGCTAATTAAAATGGTACTAATTTGCGCTTATCCGGGATGTTTAAACCGTCGTAAAAGAAAACAATTAAAAAATAAATAAAAATAAAACAATTGTATGAGTGACATACACGCGCGAGATATCACTTCCGGCGCTTTCCGGAAAAGACCGAAGCGCCGGCGCCCTCAGATCACTTGGACGTGGCTGTGTTTACAAGAGGTAAAAACGATATAAATACTGTTAGTTTTCGCACACAAACCGTTTGTTTCGTGTCTTAGCCCATCAATGTGTACTTACATTTACGAGTCATTAAATCATGTTTAACTTGGACTTCTCTGTGCATGCTCTTTGAGGAAGTGACCATAGACCTGCATTATATGACTGACAGACAAGAACGGTTTGACCTAAAAATATCAAAATTGAAACTACTGCGGAAACAAAGACACCTACATCTTGGATGCACTTGAGGTAAGCTAAAACATACCAAAAATGTATTTCAAAGTGAACTATCCCTTTAATATATATATATAAAAAATTTATAATCAATTTTCTATGTGGAGTGTTATTTCCTTTTAGTCAAACTAAACAAAACAGTTTTAAACCATGATTTTAGAATAGACCAATATATAAATGCACCGAATGCACCACAAAATGACATGGTTGTTTAACTTTCTTTCAGTTTATTCTCAATGATTATTAAAATCGTCCATTAGCTCTAATAGACAGGAGGGTGGGGAAACATTAAATCTAATCTAATAAAAAGAAAAGATGATTAAGATTTACCATGCAGTAATCCTGACCAACGAGACACAGCATGCTGGTACTGATGGGTTTGTAACACGCTGTCCCTTCACACTTGATACTATGACACTTCTTGCCCTTTTGGAAATAAAGAAATCAAAAGTCAGAAACTGGCAGAAAATGTGTATTTGTGCCTACAGTGACAAATGGCTGTGTGCTCTTACATTGTTTGCTTGGGTGGATGGAGCCGTGGCCTTTGTGGTTGTTGCAGTGGTAGTGGATGTTATTGCAGCTACTGAAGGCATGTAATAAAACAGTCAATATTCAAATGCGACCATATATCTGAGATAATAAGACAGAGTTTGAGGTTACCTGTCGTACTGGGTGATCTGGTCAAGTCAAGCAGAGCGTCGTTGAGGCAACTGGTTGTGTTGCAACATTTCCAAGAGCAATTAGCGAGAGTCGAGTTCCCGCAGGACACACCACATGAGGCACTGCACTTGACAGAGTAACTTGTGTTCTGTGTCATTATCTGAAGCACAACAGAGCAAGGTGTAACTCTTTAAATCATTTCAAGTTCATGAGCACATGATTCGCATTATTTAATTTCCACTGGAGGTTCCCATCTGAAATTGCCGCACGGTGGACTGACCTCACAGAAATTATAGCTGTGTGGGCAGTGATTCATCGTCGCATTCATGAACTGGACGGAACAATCTGTAGTGCAATCAAATTCTGGACAGGACATCTTTTAGGAAAGAACAAAGTTACAATTAAAGTTTTACATTTTAAGCATTTAAGCTGCTATTGAGGTGGGATAACGGGTAGGTGCTATATGGGTAGGTTAGGTGCTATATGGGTAAGTTTAATGGTGGGTAAAGGGTAAAGGGATTTTCAACAGTGAAATTGTAGATGTAATTACAAGCAGGTATTTAAAAAAAATAAGTACAATATTAAAAAGTGTTTCACAATAATTGCACTGTATAAAACGATTAATTCAAATGTTAATATGCATTAGTTAAGTACGCTTAAAGTGCCCCTATTATGTTTTTTGGATATTGCCTTTCATGTAGTGTGTAATAGAGCAGCTGTTTGTAAATGTAAAAGGTCTGCAAAGTTTTTGTCTCCCAGAAGAAGTGATTCTGAACAAAAATGAGTCGTCAGTAATTCTAGTCTCTCTTCTGCTGAATCTACGTAGGTTTGAAACACATTTGCATAACGCCAGTATATAGTCTTGATTGGCTGAACAGCGTCTCGTAGCTCCGCCCTCAAACACTGTAGTGTATCTGAGACTGGAGATTTCGGTTCGTGTTGTTCGTGTCGAGAAGACGCTGTTTTCTGCTGACAAAGCAAATCCACTTTGATGAGATTGATACGGTAAAACCCACGCCACTGTCACTGTTCGTATCACTGTGATCAAGAGCTGAGATTCAGATATGATAAGGAGCGTTTAGTTTCTGACCAATCATAGCAGACTGACCGGTCTGACCAATCAGAGCAGAGAACCTCTCAGAGAGGCGGGGTTTAGAGAGACTGAATCTTTATCGGAGCGTTTCAGACACTGTGAGAAAGAGCTGATGCTGCAGTGGATTTTATGAGTGTTTTTTTTTTTTTTTTACCTTGGATGCATGTAATACTGTTGTAGGAGACTCAAAAACAAAATTAGGAGCCTTTAAAATAGCATAATATGGGCACTTTTATATAAAGTGTATCTTAAGCATTCTATGTCCAGCACTCACCGCAGAGTAATTTCCTGTTACTGATGATGAATTATCTGAAAATATTGACAAATAAACAAGTTAAACATTGTAACCAAACAAGAAAAAGAACGTAAATTTGACGGAAAGAAAGAATACCTTTGTTCATATTAGTACTGCCCATTGTGGAAACAGCATTACTGACAGAAGAAGTGCTCATAGTGGGCATCTGGCCCGTTGAAGTGGAGGAGCTCGAGCTCTCGGGATGCATTGAATGAGTTACAGCTGTCGGTACGGTTGCGGAAGACTGTACAGTTGTGGAAGAGTCTTGTACGGTTGCGGAAGAGTCTTGTACGGTTGTGGAAGAGTCTTGTACGGTTGAGGTGTCTGGCCACACTTTAGAGAGCAGACTCATTTGCAATAATAGAAAAAACAGGAAACCTGTTGGACAAACAGATGAACGACAGAAAACATCTGTGACAACTATTGTGAATTGACTGGATTTGCATTTGGTTAAATGTAACTTGTCCAGCCGAGAAATGCATGGAAAAACATGCACACTAGGAGCACGAGCAGAATGAATTTCTAATCAAATTATTAAAGCGTTTTTTTTTTTTTTTTTGCACGATTTATACAGAAATTCCCTGCTTTATAAAGAATGTGATTAGTACTGATTTCCATTGGCATGTTAAATAAAACCATGTATTAACCACAAATCAAATCACATAAAATATCTATTTACAATAACATGATGAAAAGGTATAATAACAAACCTGTTTTCGAAGACCTCACATTCTTGCTTTTCTCAATTTCTCCCAACGCCATCTGAAAGGCATGAAAATATGTTTGTCATTTAGTTATGATGCAAAACAGCAAGAACTTTGCTAAGTTTATGGATGTTGGTGTTTTTTGATGATTCAATCAAATTCATTTGACATGTTTAATGAGTCCAGCAACCATCGAAAAGCATGGCGAGTATTAGTATCAGAAAATTCCCTTTGCCTGGTTTGCATCCATGACGTTGCAGAAAGATTTCACCGAGAGCTATGCAAACGTGGCGTGTGTAATTGTCGGTGTGGAACATGCTTAACCTCGGCACACGATGTTCTGCTTTGATCTGCAGTGGACCATGTCAATTTCTTCTTATACAGTCAAACCAAAAATGATTCAGACACCAGATATAATTTTTGATGTTTCACTAGTGTGTGCAGGACACTATAGTTCATTTATGTAAGTGAGGAGAGCAAAATAAAGTAAACTGTGACATATTACACCCAATAACTCTTCATACAGAGACTACCAGTGACATTTACACACATCTGGGAGCAAATATTAATCCTCCACTTTGAGCTGATCATGTTTTTTTCTTCAGTGTGTTTTCTGTAATTGCTAATGCTCTTTTTACACACAGACTGAACAACATGAAGCATTGCTTGGTCACTGGTTGAGCTAAACTGGTATTATCTAATTGTGTAGTTAAATTTAACAGCTGACAGATATTCAACATAATTCATGTGTGAGAGTCTAACAGAAGGACGGACAAAACCAGTCAAATATCCACTGATCCGAGAACTCTGAGTTCTGCTCATATTTATCACCATTTTCTGAATCCATTTTGGTTTGACTGAGCCGAAAGAGATTCAGTTTCCACAAGCGCATGTACAGTATTTGAATATGAAACACACAGCATCTCGTGTGTGATATCTCTTCAATGTTACATCACAGGAATCGTAATCCAGGGTTCAGTGTCTCTGCCAAACACACGGGTTCACAGTTACAGATGTTCCCTTGCATCGAGGCCGCTTGCCCTCACACAATTAACAACTTGTTTGTTCTGGGCGAATCCCCCAGGTGTAAGTGCAAAGCACGGCTTGTTACTCCGTTCCCCGTGAGACAGTGAACAACCCCGTCAGGAAACTACCCTGGAAACCATGTCTTGTGTGAAAACATTGGTTCCACCAAATTATGACTTTCTCTTTCTATCCCACAGTAGCATGTTTGGATGACTTTGAACATCTGTCTGCATTTCTCCTCTTCTTTCTCCTCATCTAGTTGTCTAATAAACCTGGCATTGTATGTTTCCAATATTGTGGGCTCTTTAACTAAATTGCTTTTGTTGCTGTTTTGTAAGTTGCTTTGGATAAAAGTGGCAGTAACACTTTATTTTAAGGTGACGCAGTTACACGTTACGACAGTAATAACAGTAAATTATGCATAAATACAAGCAACTAACCCTAGACTAAATCCTAACTTTAATATAGTAAGTACATGTAGTTAATTAGTATTACTCAGTACTTATGTGACAATGTAACTACGTCACCTTAAAATAAAGTGTAACCAGTGTCAGCGAAATGCATAATAAAAAAATTAGATGCACTCAAAAAAATTGGCTGTAGGATTTACTAACTTTGAAAAATATATTTTTTTTTTATAGTTTGGCTGAACTATATATATAATATCCTGTACTTTCCAATGATTTGATATTGTTACTTGTAAAGGCAAGGCAAGTTTATAGCACACTTGGTAATTCAAAGTGCTTTACATAGAAGGAATTAAAATAATCAAAAGAAATAAAAATAATCCTGTTTTGCAAGGATCTCATACTCAGAAAAAAGGCAAGAAATCTCAGCCTACATTCACAGCAACACTTATCCTTTCCCATGTACATATGTACTTATTATAGTAATTACAATAACTGGGTAATAACTAGGTACTAACCCTGAACCTAAAATAAACTTTAAATAATATTCCTCAACTTAATCCACACATGTAATATGAATCATCCGTCCTACGTCGGGTCTAGACTCATGAAAACACCTGTTTGAAAACATGGTGACCTTCAATACGAACCAGCATCTCCAGCCCGAGCAGATCCACCTAAACCTACAGCTGCATCCAAAACCAGATCTACACGGCAGCAACATCTGAACACGTATATTGGGAAATATGCTTACCTTCACTGTACAGTGGGAAAGCACGAATTAGACTGGAGTTGTTAACAGCTGTGGATGAAGTTAAGTGTGCCAATATGATCCTCTACCCCTTCCTCTCTCTCTCTCTCTCTCTGTTGCTATGTGCTCCTCCAGCCCGATGACATCAGAGGGAAGGTTTCCTAATTAGTGGAAACTGATGGGATTGGTCTGATGACCGTGTGCTTATACTAGGATGATGGGGTGTGTCATTACTGAAACGATGCATTCAACTCTATACAATTATTAGTTATGCACAGCTTTGAGTTTAACATCTCGACTGGCAGTTTAACTTCTGTAAAAGCACTGCGTCAGATTGATTTTATAGCCTTTTGAAAATATTAACAATAATCTTTAACTTGTTTAGATAGTAGATAATATCATAACCAGCAGAGCCGGACAGTAACGGAGTACATTTACTTGAGTACAGTACTTAAGTACAATTTTGAGGGATCTGTACTTTACTCGAGTATCATTTTTGGGGAGTACTCATGACTTTACTCAAGTACATTTGAGAGGCAAATATTGTACTCTTTACTCCAATACATTTCTATCCATAACCGTGAGTACACGAGTAAAAAAAAAAAAAAAAAATCTCGGAAACCCTCAATTTGTTGTTTCCCTCTCAAACGTGATTGGATTGTGCAGGCCCCACTGATTGTGACAGCCTATCAGCAATCACTTTCAGCTTTCCGCCAAAGTCAACTCCATGGTCAGATATTATATTACACATTAATGTAAGCCAAGCATTTGGTTTGATGTTCTTGAGTATGTGGTGTGTTTAACACAGTCAGGTTCAAATGTGGCAGTGGCGTAGCCACGAGGGATTTCTGATTTCTTAAAAAAAAAAACTTTAGGAGGCAAAATATATTTTTACTGATTATGTGAATTACACTGCGCAAACCAAAGTAGGCTACTACCCAGCGAATGAAGAAGGGTTGGCGCTCAGTCTCCAGAGTACATACAATATTCATTTTGTTTTATTTTATTTTTCCGGTTTGCATTTATGAGGAAAAAACAATGTTATGGACGTGTTCTCCGTTACGGACGTGAGCGCTCTGAAAGCGGCATAAAAAATGCTTTAAAACTTTCACAGAGACCTCAAACAGAAAACACAAAACCTTTCTTTAACCTGAATTTCGTTTTGATTTAATTGTATCTTAATTTTAATCAATGTTTCATCAACCAATTGCCTGGGTTTAATAAATAAGAAGTAAATAGCAGACGATAGATAAGAAACGGAGGCGCCGGCCTGTGAACTGGATCTCGTCTCATAAATGAACCGAAACTGAGTGTATAAGGTAGCCTACTTGCCTCTCACAGACATGTCTACTTTTAAACAGAAAAAATCAAAACGAAAGAAAACAGACTACAGACTGCTTATGTAATCCGTATGAAATGTGCATTTCTCTCTGGCGCGTTCACTACTGAATATCGCGAGTCAGCATCGTCAACTTCATCTAGCCGACACTGACAAAGAAAACACTTGTTTATTAACAAGTGTTTATTAATAAACAATTAAAATATCTCCTTGCTATATTTTACATATTCATAATCATTCCTTTTGCCGGTTCTTTGTGACAGCTTTTAGGTGCTTTATTGGCAGCGCCACCCTTACATGTGGTGTGTGTGTGTGTGTGTGTGTGTGTGTGTGTGTGTGTTGTCCCCGCATTTAAAGATGGGACCCCCCAAAAATGTAATTAAATTAAATAAAGCAACATGGTAAAAAGATGAAAATGACTTGATTTTACTTTCAATTCCTTTTACATTCTCCAAGGTATTAACATTAACATTTTTCATAACTCCATGTAGGACGTTTCTGTGCATTAATGTAAGCACTGTGGCAGTAGATTAGTAATGCAATATTTAGAAAATCTACTCTTGTACTCTTGATACTCAAGTACTTTTAAAAACAAGTACTTTAGTACTTTTACTTAAGTAGACATCTGAATGTAGTACTTTTACTTGTACTTGAGTAAAATTTAGCAAGGGGTATCTGTACTTTTACTCAAGTAACAAAGCTCTGTACTCTGTCCGCCTCTGATAACCAGTAATTTGTTTCTTAGGATCTTAAAAACACGGTGTGGTTTAAACGCTTGAAATAAGTTTTGTAGACAGATATAAAATATGCCTACATCAGAATTCCTTTACAAAACTGACATTTCATTTTAAAGTGTTAAAAATCGAAATGCAAAAACAGTTCAAATGAAATTTGATTTAAAAAACGTAGGTTCAGAGGAATCTTTTAGGATTCTCAACATTTGTCTCAGCCGGCCAAAATCGTACAGTTTGAACCAGTCTTTAGTTCTAGTTAGTAAAGACATCGTTAAAATAGTCCGAGTGACTACAGTGGCTCAACCATAAGTTTATCAAGTGACGAGAATACTTTTTGTGCAGAAAAAAACCCTAAAATAACGACTTTATTCAACTCTTCATCTTCTTCTCTGTGGGCCTCGAGTGAGTTCACGTAGTGTAACAGCGTACGTCAGACACATCACACACACGACCAGCGTCGGCCAATAGTGAGCCTACGTGTGACGTACAACACAGAAGCGCTGCACTGTTTCACTATGCGAACTCACTCTCACTCACAACAGCTCTCAGATTTAATCAAAAATATCTTAATTTGTGTTCCGAAGAAGAAGGAAAGTCTTACGGGGTTGAACAACATGAGGGAGAGTAATTACTGACAAAGTTTACATTTTTGGGTGAACGAACCCTTTAAGCCTTCAGTCTTCCTCAGCTCTGGGTCTTGTCTTGGAGTTATTTCAAACAAGTATTTGGTCCACTCAAGCAAGGAAAACCAATGAAAGTATGGAATAAATGTATATTTTAAGGTGTAATAAGTAAACCAAATGGATTGTAACCATTTCAAACAAGTATTTGGTCCACTCAAGCAAGGAAAACCAATGAAAGTATGGAATAAATGTATATTTTAAGGTGTAATAAGTAAACCAAATGGATTGTAACCATTTCAAAGAAGTATTTGGTCCACTCAAGCAAGGAAAACCAATGAAAGTATGGAATAAATGTATATTTTAAGGTGTAATAAGTAAACCAAATGGATTGTAACCATTTCAAATAAGTATTTGGTCCACTCAAGCAAGGAAAACCAATGAAAGTATGGAATAAATGTATATTTTAAGGTGTAATAAGTAAACCAAATGGATTGTAACCATTTCAAACAAGTATTTGGTCCACTCAAGCAAGGAAAACCAATGAAAGTATGGAATAAATGTATATTTTAAGGTGTAATAAGTAAACCAAATGGATTGTAACCATTTCAAAGAAGTATTTGGTCCACTCAAGCAAGGAAAACCAATGAAAGTATGGAATAAATGTATATTTTAAGGTGTAATAAGTAAACCAAATGGATTGTAACCATTTCAAACAAGTATTTGGTCCACTCAAGCAAGGAAAACCAATGAAAGTATGGAATAAATGTATATTTTAAGGTGTAATAAGCAGTGTTGGGCAGTAACGCGTTACTAGTAACGCGTTACTGTAACGCAGTTACTTTTGACAGTAACTAATACTGTAACGCATTACTTTTTAAATAAAGTAACTCCGTTATCGTTACCATATGGTGCGTTGTCCGTTACTTTTTTAAATTAATTAGTTGCTGGAGCGGCTGAGAAGTGTGCGCTGTTACACAGTACGAGATCACTGAAGAGACTGCTAGCATTATACAGAGCGAGAGGACACATAAACTCACTGGCTGAGTTGTTTACGTTAACACGTGAGGCCGCGCGAGCACGGAGATTACAAGCTGCACGGAGAGCGCTGAGCACTTCAGATGCGCATTTAAAACACAGACAGCGAAACGGTATGAATACAGAACACTAAAGTACACATTGCCATATCATTATAAAGTAATATTTTGTCTAGATGCTGCATCAACAGAGAAAGAACAGAAGCTTGCCGTCGAGTCTGAGAGGAATAACATTAGTAACGGCTAACTTACCTCAAGCGATTAAAGCAATGTGACCAAAACACACGCAGACCTGACCCAGATGTTTTATGTCGCAATTGTTACCATCTATTTGCATTAGTTTATATCCAGCTGGTCACTGTTATGCATTCATTAGCCGGCGAAGTTGTATTTTTAAAGCTGACGTGATTGCAATGCTTACATTGATATGTTCATGCAGCGACATCAAGTTTCCTAATCAAGTGTTCTAAAATTTAAGCAAATAAAGTGAAAGACTATACATGTAATATATAGGTCTACATTTATGTAATTTTAATGCTCTGGCCTTTGCAGATATTTAAATATGGCCATCTTCTATAAGCTTGAATCATATAAAATGGTAACACTTTACAATGAGATTACAATTTTAGCATTAAATATGGTTAATAAATGTTGTAGAAGTATCATTCATTGTTAGTTTTTTAATTTCAACATTTACTTAATACATTTGAAATTGAGTTTAAATTGTTATTGTATCTGTTATTACCTTAGTTAATTAGCCTACTATGAACTAACAAGAATGATCAAGGTACAATTGTATTGCTCAAATATTCATTCATGCAGTAAAAACGTATTACTGTCAGCTGCATGAACATATCAATGTTGAGAAAGCAAACACATCACTAGCTTTACACATGCTTGTTTTGTTATTTATTTCAGAAATCCTTGTGATATATTCAGTTTGTGCTGGTCTGACTTAAATAAAATAGTGTTTAAAAATTACTTTCTGTTTAAGTCAGTTTTGTGTTTGTATAGACCATAACGCATAAAAGGGCATTAATGGGAACATTAAAGAACTTTCTTTAAAAAAGTAACTAAAAAGTTACTTTTCACAGTAACGCATTACTTTTTGGTGCAAGTAATCAACAAAGTAATTGAGTTACTTTTTGAATGAAGTAACTAGTAACTGTAACTAGTTACTATTTCTTAGTAACTAGCACAACACTGGTAATAAGTAAACCAAATGGATTGTAACCATTTCAAAGAAGTATTTGGTCCACTCAAGCAAGGAAAACCAATGAAAGTATGGAATAAATGTATATTTTAAGGTGTAATAAGTAAACCAAATGGATTGTAACCATTTCAAACAAGTATTTGGTCCACTCAAGCAAGGAAAACCAATGAAAGTATGGAATAAATGTATATTTTAAGGTGTAATAAGTAAACCAAATGGATTGTAACCATTTCAAACAAGTA